TAGTAAAGTACTTGAATTAATCTGTTGTGGTGATTCTGTAGTTGCTATGGTAACACAACGACTATAGTAAAATACTTGAATTAATCTGTTGTGATTCAGTTGTTGCTATGGTAACACAATGACTATAATAAAGTACTTAAATGTATCTGTTGTGGTGATTATATAGTTGCTATGGTAACAGCCTCAAATACACAATAGAAAAACACAAGGGAAGAGAAAATAAGGGGAAGGGAGAAATGCAGAACTTCTTCTGATCAGATTGCAGAACTACAGATATTTGAGACGTTCATATTTTAAGAGATGGTACCATAGAGGATGACCCTAAATTACATAATATAAAAATGTTATAAATATAGGGATAAACCTATAATAAAAATAGATCAGTAGCGTGAAGATTACCTGTCATATCTGATCTTCTCCACACAGGTTATAAATCTGCACACTGATCATTTGTTCATCATTATGTATCGAATGCTGTACTTTGAGCACTAGCTTTATGGTTATCTTAAAGGGACAGTTCACCAAAAAATGCAATGTCCTGCTAATTTACTCACTCACAGCTCATTCAAGAGGTTCAGTAGGTGACTTTCTTTCTTCAGTAGAACATTAAAGAAGATCTTCAGCCTGGTCAAACTGTTGGACTGTGCATGTTGGACTGTAGTCTGATTGTAGTCCAACCAGATTGTGGGTTAAAGCTAATAATATTGTAAATGATGTTTAGTTTCTTACACGGACCAATCGTTTTGTTTCACAAGACCTCAGTGTGTCATCAGGAGCCATGGCTATTGATTTGGAATTGTTTGTATGTGTTAATTTTAAATCTAAAAAATCTATAACAATTTTATAAACTATAACTATTATATAAATCCTAAAGGAGTATGGATTAAACTCATTTTTTTCTTTAATGTTACACCGAAAAACAAAAGTCACCTACATCTTGGATGACCTGTGGGTGAGTAAATGAACAGGAAATCAGGATTTCTGTGAGGTCTTAAAAAGTCTTAAAATGTCTTAAATCTCGAAATCCAAATTTTAGGCCTTAAAAAGTCTTAAATTTACTGAAATGTTGAGTTTAATTTTCCTTTGTTCATGTATTGCTACCCAATCTGGCCAAAACCCATACAATCATCAACTATCCATCTCAATAAAACCTTAAAGTTTTTAACTTCAAAGGTCATTTTTAACTCTATATATCATAATGGCTTAATTATTTTCCTTACACTAACATTTGTTCAAAAGTTCTCCATGTATTTACTGCTGAGGACATCTGGACAAATTGTTGCCCATAGATTTAGTTTATTATAGTTTGTAAAACATTTGTTAATATTATTTATATTTCAGAGAAAGTTTATGTTGGGAAAAAAGTGTATGGATACAAGTAGATCTTACTTGTTTTTACACAGTATTTTAAATATTTAGCTAAGAAATAAAATCAAAAATATTTTTTTTATTATTTATTATTAAATTATTATTGTATCAATAAATCTATTAAATTGTAATAAATAGTTTTGACGGGTCAAATAAAATTTCTTCCATCTGGGCCCTTTGAAATATTCCTTAGCCTTTGGTGTTTTATAAGTCTAAAATTTCATTTATAATGGTCTTAAAAAGTCCTAAATTTAACTCTGAAACCTGCAGAAGCCCTGGGAAATGTTCATTTTTGGGTGAACTATCCCTTTAAATTAGAACGCCCTATAGCTCTTATGTATGTAAAAATATTAAACATTACCTACAAGACAATTGACTTACCATGACACCGCATGTTTTCTTAGAAACTCTTTGACTGTTTGTGAGATTGTGTTACACAGTAACTACATATATTGTTCTGGAAATGTAAGTGGTTGGAATTATATGTTATTAGGGTTAAAGTTGCATCTGTAGGGGTTAAAGTGTAGGCTCTTGGGTTTGCTTTATGCTTAAGGGTATATAGTTAGCAACTACACTGAGTCCTTTAGATCTACTTGTGTCAAAGACAATGTCCGGATTTAGTGTGTGCAGCAAATGAAATGCAAACAAAGTGCATTCATGTTTTGTATATCATAGAACTTCATGTGTTATGGGTATATAAAAATGATTCTTGTTGTATAAACTTCTGTTAAGTTTAGTCTAGTTCTTATTTAAATATACAAGTAATCTTCAATCAAATTCTGCATTTAAAGTGGCTCCTTCTTTGTTGATGTCAGTTTGATGCTTCAACAACAGTATTTTTAGCCACGCCCCTCTTATCATCAGTTTGCTAAGAATGAATGATGCACAAAAAGGAAAGCCCCTCCCCCTACTTAATATTCCATTTTAGTTGGAAGTACATCAACATACTGAAATAAAAGCAACTTCCGGTTCACACAGACTTTAATGTAAATCTCATTTTAAAGGGTGACTTCTGTAAATATTGGTGCATTTGTATGATAGTCTCAATTCCTTTTTGTGTTTGATGCAAGCTAGTTTATTAAATAGTGGACTTTAAGTGTGATAAACGTTAGCTGTAAATGTTTGGATGCCTTTCTTAAGCAGTAAGTGTGAGACAGCAGTGTGTATCTTGTTGTGCTGTGTTGTGTTTAAAGGGCCAGTTCACCCAAAAATGAAAATTCTGTCCTCCTAAACTTGTTCCAAACTTGTTTGAGTTCCTGATTTGGGGTTTCATTCAGTTTCATTCAGGCAACATCAACAGCTTGAGGCATCAAGACATTTGTGCTGCCCATTACATTACAAACCACAGGAGAGGGCGAATTCTCCAGCAGGATAGCGCTCCTTCTCATACTTCAGCCTCTTCATCAAAGCTCCTGAAAGCAAAGAAGGTCAAGCTGCTCCAGAATTGGCCTGCCCAGTCACCAGACATGAACATTATTGAGCATGTCTGGGGTAAGATGAAGGAGGAGGCATTGAAGATGAATCCAAAGAATCTTGATGAAGTCTGGGAGTCCTGCAAGAACGCTTTCTTTGCCATTCCAGATGACTTTATTAATCAGTGATTTGAGTCAGTGCAGAGATGTATGGATGCAGTCCTCCAAGCTCATGATGGAGTCAGACACAATATTGATTCTTTTCCCGCTACACCATGACTTTGTATTCTATATTAGACATTATTTCTGTTCAGTGACAAGACTTTTGTCTAAGCAAAGTCAGACCTTACTGTATTAATTAAATCATTCAAAATCAAGGTATGAACATCTTTTATTTTGGTAAAATAAGCGTAATCTAGAGGCTTTTACCTTTCATATAAGCCAATTCTGACACCAAATGATCAAGTTATTATTTGCTGTTCGTAGTGTAGATAGGCTTTCCGAGAGATGTGTTGCGGCTGGAAGGCCATCCGCTGCATAAAAACTTGCTGGATAAGTTGGCGGTTCATTCCACTGTGGCGACCCCGGATTAATAAAAGGACTAAGCCGACAAGAAAATGAATGAATGAAAATAGATAGGCGACAAGATATATGTTAGGTAGTGCACTGAAGAATGCTGGAAAAAACAGCCATTGACTTCCATATTATTTTTAATTCCTACTGCTTTTTTTCCAGCATTCTTCAGAGTATCTTGTTTTGCGTTCGACAGAAGAAAGGAACGAGCAAATGGGTGTACTGTCCCTTTAACTCTCCTGAATGAACAGGACTGCTCAGGCTGAGCTGTAGGTGTGTCTGTAGTGCTGGTTGTGAGTAATGAACACTCAGGATTAAAGCCGTTCTGCCTTAATGCTGAAATTCCCCAGCCCGAGGCCTCGTGATTTTCTCCTCTCCAACCCTGCGCTCTGTCTTCGCTTGACAATAGATCTGTCTAGACGCCTCCTGCAGTCATTGGTCTCCAGCTTCACCCAGAGATCTCCTTTCTCATGCCTCACCAGGTGTGGTTCAGTAGTTTGGTTGGCATTGTATGACTCATTTAAAGGGCACGTAACATGTTCACTTTGCCCATCTAATAGTAATACTAAGTGCCTATAGAGTAGTACTGCCTCCATCTTTTCTCCAGAAAGCCTTTTTTTCATTCATTTTCTACCGCTTTTCCGGGGCTGGGTCGCAGGGGCAGCAGTCTTAGAAGAGAACTCCAGACTTCTTTTTCCCCTGACACTTCCTCCTGGGGGATCCCGAGGTGTTCCTTGGCCAGGCGAGGCATGAGACATTATCTGCGTCCCAAATGGCACACTATGCACTATGTACTTATGCACTAACACACTCAACAGGATAGTATATGTATGTAGCGTCGTCCCAAATGGCACACTAATGTTTTTTTACTAAGCGGAAATTCAAACCGTTTCCCTGATGACGTTTGACGGTTGCCAAATCCGTGAAATAAACGACCGAATTATCAGATAATACCTGCCGTGAGTATAACCGCATTCACCATCGGGAGGTGAAGTAATCACTCTCATAGGAGAATTTAGCTTTCACCATCCAAAATAAATAAAGTTATCCAACATGTGCGCCCGATAGCTCCGCCCCTTCCGCTACGTAAGCAAACCTGTGGTCGTTGAGTGCGTGAAGTGTCCATCGTTACACACTTCGTTTTAGCGGCTGAATGAGTGCATCATCCGGGTAAAGTGCACTTATGATTTTTAGACTTTTCAGTGTGAACACACTACTTACACTATTTATACTACAAAATGGCGTAGAGTAGTGCATAAGTATGCGATTTGGGACGCAGCTAATGTCATATTGGGGGGTGTGGGGAGGAGGGGTCACTCTGGTCCCCCAAGCTCTGCACTGGTTGGGGAAAATCCAAATTGAACCAAAATAATCCATTACAATTGGCTTAAGATTGGCAAGCAAAAGTCGGGACATTGCAACCTGCAGAACCTGGGAACTTAAAAAAATAAATACAATTTTGGCTATAGAGACACAAAATTAACGGCTTCTGTATTATAGATGCATATTCTAATTTGAACATCAAAACAGTATAATGAGCAGTTAATTAGAAATGGTTAAAGGACACTTCAACTCATTCTGATTCTGATATTTACTCTAAACATGGCAAGTGTTTTGAGTTTTTGTTTTTCTTTATTCCTTTCGCAGATGAACGGGACAGAGTGCAGAAGAAGACTTTCACAAAATGGGTGAACAAACACCTAATAAAGGTACATTTATGTTCATTATTTCATGTTGTTGTTGTTTTAAATGTGAAATAAGCAGTTCTTGATTCTGCTCGTCTCTTCCTGTCCTGAGCTATTAATGTTCAAATGGTGTCATTACAGGAGAATAACTGAATAGCAAAATCCAGTGTGACTTTCAAACTTAACTAAATATTTCGAATGATTATTTTATACTTGCTCTTTTCATTTCATTTTAGCTCAAGTTTACATAATTTTGTTTTGATAAATTGCAGTATAATGACTCATATTTTCAATATCAAAATCAAACGCAACTTTCAAAATTAACTAAATATATTTGGATTTTTTATACTTGCATTTTATTTTAATTTGTTCTACATTATTAGTAGTTGTCTTAATAAAATACTGTGGAAAAATAATTATTTTAACAGCAAAATCAAATACAACTTTTGTAGCTTTTTGTTAGCTATATACAGTATTTCAAATTTTTAATAATTTATTTTTATTTTAGCTAAAGTTTTAGCAGTTTTGTTAACGTATTATTATTTATTCATTTTAACTCAATTGATTAATTTGCACTTGGGTTTTTTTCTTATTTGAATAACACTTTTTTTTAATGACATGCTTTCGGAAGAAATTGAATGAATAAATGAAAGAATAAAAGAAAGAATGAATGGATGGATAAATGAATGAATGAATGAATGAATGATATGCTTTCGGTTTTAGCTAATTATAATAACCCTGGTCAAGGCAGTGTTTTTTCTTTTTGTTAGTTACAGCATGTTGAACTTTTTTTGTAAGTTGTGTTGTTATTATTGTTTAAAAGTGGTTCCTTGAAGTATTTTTGACCAGTTTTCATAAAAATCAGTGTATTGCCCACTTCTAAAAACAGTTTAGTCACTAACACATTTTTAACCAACATGCTACACCACCAAATTTAGAAACTAATAGCAAGAGACTGTAATATTACTTAAGGTCTCATAACATTACAGCTTTCAGATCACACCTGTCAACATTGGGATGTGAAAACAAGGGAGTTACCCACCATAATAAGGAATTCCCACTTTAAAAAATCCCCTAATTACTAAATATGCTCATTTGGAGCTGTTTCATTGTAAGTAAACATTTAGTAATGTTTTATTATTATTATTTACAAAAGAAAAATAAATAGTATACATTAGCAGCAATTACATTAGCAAACAGTTCAACTTACTAAAATAATAGCTATTAAAATAAAATAGAATCAAGCTATCAAATCTCATTAACCTTTTCTTCACTGTATAACTTACACATTCTGATTAAAGAGCAACGAATGAATCTCTTATTTATTTAGATTTTTTCGTTTGATTACATTAAATAGCAGGTGTCACTTTAAAAATGCACACATCTAACGTTATAATGGAAGCATTCGATTGCTTTCTTAACTTTTTATGCTCTTTTAGGACGAAATTAGTTGTGTTTAAAACAAAAAAAACCTCACCAAGATCGACATCTTAAGATGTTATTATTATTAATTATGTGTGTATGTCTGTTCAAACATGCACCCAAAACCCAGAATTTCGCTACGCTTCAAATTGCTTGTACAGAATCTGTTTGGGAAACAGCGTCTATTTATCACTATGGAGCGCGTCAGCTGACAGTCACGCACCGCTACATGACTGTTCCGAGGATTACATATGAAGGGGAGACGGCACCTGTAATGTGAAGGAAGGGAATTGCGCCGGTTTTATATTTATTTCAAAGTGTTTTCATGGTTGTTGCTTGATCTGATATGGATGCGGCCGGAAGTTAACGAGAATTATATTATTTATTAAATTTCCCATTAATTGTATTTTATTAACGTCTACCCCCACCCCAACCCTAAACCTAACCGTCAATGTAAGGCAAAAACAGTAGCTGTACCGATTATTATTTGCGTTATCTATTAAATTACCCAATACATTGTATTTTTTTAACGCCTACCCCAACCCTAAACCCAATCATCACAGTACTGTAAAAATATTAATTATTGTCATACAGTGTCATATAAAATGCTGCTATAATAACGTGCATGTCGCAATTCCGGTTGGCCCTGTATCCGGTCTAAACTTTACCTGTTTTCATTCTTAAACTAAGTGAAAGCACAGAACAGACTCACATTTAAGAGCAATGGGCGGCCCCTGGTGGTTCGGCGGTATGGGTTGCATATAGGGAGGCTCGGCTCTTTAATGTTTATATGCCACCCCTCAGAGAAATACGGGAAAATACCTTCACAGGATGATAGCAGGATAGAACTGTAAAATACGGGAGAATCCAGAGAAAAACATGAGGGTTGACAGGTATGTTTCAGATGAACATGATTTCTGTTTGGTACAGTGCTGGGATTCTAGATAAACAGATCTTAATATTTGTTTGATTCTACAAAGGCCTGATAACACTTCTTCCACCTTTCAAATACAAATATTGCTATTTAAAGTCCTTTATTTAGTGTACAATTATCATTTTACGGTTATTAATTTGTGCAGTGAAATGAACGCTCTTGATATCTAAGGATCGGTTTGTATTTCTAGTCACAGACTGATGTTTAACTTGGTCAAACAGATCACAGATGAACACTGAGAGCTCTGTTTACGCTGTGGTTAGTTTCACTCATCAGCTGTTAATAGACGCTGATATTGTTTTGTGCTGATTGAGTTGAGTATCTCTGAGAAGAAAGACTGATAATGGATAAACACATGGGTTTAGACAGTAAAACAAGACTTCTTTATTACAGTGTGCTACATCCAGATGTTGGTCTCTGCGTTGCTAGTGTGTGACTGTTTTAGGCAGACTGCAATATAATACATTTTAAGCTGAAGGTCATGGATTGGGATGGTAATAGACTTTATAATCTTTATCTGGTGTTGATGAGTAAAATTGACTGATGTACTGAGGGAAAATATATGCTGTTGAGTTGAATAAAAAAGACTGATCTGATATCTGCATCGACAGCGACCTCTAGTGGCTCATTCTGACCTCTGCCTGTCTTTTGGTTACGGCTTTGTCCTGTCTTTACACTTTAAGTTGTTTAATAAGTTTTTTTTTTTGTGAAAGATTAGAGGCTTAATTTCACTGTCCTGAATTAACACACGTTTGACTTATTGTTTCTTATTCACAAGCTTTTAAACTCTTGAGTGAACTGTTTAAACCTTGTGGTTACAGTTGCTTCTTATGATACAGTTCTTTTTCTAAATAAGAAGTAATTCTCAGTATTGATGCTGTATGTTGTGCATGTAGCGTATAGAATTAGTATATAATTAGTTTGTAGTATTAGTCTATTATTAGTGTATATACAGTGCTCGGCATAACTGGCTACAACCCATTTTGAAAATGAATATTTTATCCATTTCTAAGTGAATAAAGGTCAAATGTTTTGGGTTCATTTGAACAAAACAGATTTATGCAACGGATTTATTTATTAAAATAATATTTTAGTTACGGAACGTATTTAGAAATAGAAGGATAATACATTTAAATTAATGCAAATATTGGTAAAAAAAATTACAGACTACTTAAATTACAACAACATTTTTGAATTTTTTTTTTAGTTTCTTTTGAATTTTCCTCTTTCTTAAAAATTTAATTTAATAATTTCTTTAACACAATAATTTACCGTTATTGTAAGTTATTTTGTTAGATAAGCTCCAGATTTGGCTTCAGTACTGACTAATCTAATGAATAGGCACAAAGATAATATTGTAAAGCTGCTTCCTATAGAAAATATTAATTTAAACGAGAGATTTGTAATTTTGCTCATGTTGAGCACTGTATGTATGTATGTATGTATGTGTGTGTGTGTGTATATATATATATATATATATATATATATATATGAGTGGGCCAATAATATTGACCTCAAAATAATATAAAATATAATAATCTATTTAAAATAATGTAATATTAATAAAAACATATCAAAAACAATATAATATAATAAAGTAAATAGTATAACCTTTATAATTTTAAAAAGAAATGTGACTTTATTTTTAAGACTATAATACATATTTATATATCGTATTTAATGTATTATTTGGTTAAACTATAATTTGGTATAAAAATTTATTATAATTATAATTTTAAAGTTTTAAAGGATGGAAGACTAGCAAAATTTATTTAATCTTTTATTAACCTCCATATGATTCTGAACCACTATTTTATTTTATTTCTATTATTGTTTTATTTTAAAAGATATTTTATTGATGGATTGGACATTTTTATTTAATTTTTATTATTATTATTTAATATTTTGTTTTTCTTTGTTGATGGATTGGACATATTTATTTTTATTCATTCATTCATTTTCTTTTGGGCTTAGTCCCTTTATTTATCCGGGGTCGCCACAGAGGAATGAACCGCCAACTTATACAGCACGTTTTTACGCAGTGGATGCCCTTCCAGCCGCAACCCATCTCTGGGAAACATCCACACACTCTCATTCACACTCATACACTACGGACAATTTAGCCTATCCAATTCACCTGTACCGCATGTCTTTGGTCTGTGGGGGAAACCGGAAACCAACCTTCTTGAGGCAACTGCACTACCTACTTCGCCACTGCGTCAGCTGTATTTTTATTTTGCTTATTTTATTATTATTCATTATTATTTTAATTTTTTATATAAGTTTATTCTATTGATGGGTTGGACTTTATTTTTTTAAAATATTTTTTTATAATTTTTTTATTATTTGTTTTGTTTTGTTTTGTTTTGTTTTGTTTTGTTTTGTTTTGTTTTGTTTTGTTTTGTTTTGTTTTGTTTTGTGAAAGCCAATTTAAGTTCTTTGGCAGAATCTCCAGATGGCTTTCTCCAAGATATCAAGCAAAGTGCAGTTATGAATTTATAATATTTGGTTAATAGGATAACTGTCTGTGTCTGAACTTTCTGCTAAATATCCTCATTTTTATCTGTGAATTAAAAATAAACATCATGAAAGTATTTTATTTTCTACTCCATTAACAGCCTTCTCATGTTTCTAATGCTGGGTTCAGATTACACAATATTGTTCTAAGCATTTTATGATAGTCAGTATGTCATATTTTGTCATTTTGAATCCTAAATTGTTTGTATGAAAAAACAGACTGCATTGGCCTACTGATCAATCATTGCTTGCTGTTTCAACAACATGCATGATGTCATTGAGAAGATGGAGCTTTAACTGATCTACAGAAGCATAAGCATACATAAACTGTCCCTTTAATGGGGTCATTCATCATAGCCTTCATATCTTTCTTCCATTTCTAATCACCTTGCCTCCATTGGTCGCTCTGTCCTGCTGTTCTCTTCACTGATTGGCTGCTCCAGCACTGGAGGTCTGAGGTAGGTCCATCTGTCAGCGTGTGGCAGCATGCTCTGCTCTCCTCGCGCATGTACAGTTTTCCTCTGGCGGTTTCCTCTGCTGTCTGTCTAATGAAAAATGCTGAATGGCATTTATATACAGTAAATACAGTTGGAGTCAGAATTATTAGCCCTCATGTGATTCTTTTCTTTTTCAAGTATTTCCCAAATGATGTTTAACAGAGAAAGGATTTTTTTCACAGTATTTCCTATATATTTTTTTCTTCTGGAGAAACTCTTATTTGTTTTATTTCAGCTAGAAGGAGTTTTAAATTAAAAAAAAAAACATTTTACATAGACATTTGAGATGAAAGAGGACTGTCCCACTAATATACTATATGCATGGGATGAAAAATTGATAAAAACTAGAACCGATAACCCTATGATTATCCACTCAGTACAGATCTGGAACAAACTTCAGTTGATGTTGGGACAAGAGGCATTTCTCTCTCCCAAAACTCCTTTATGGGGGAACAGATTGCTTCCAATGTGCTATAAAAACAAAAATGTTAAAATTTGACCAGATAAAGGAATTACACATTTAGAGCATTGTTTTGATGATGATGTTTTAATGTCATTTGAACAATGACAACAAACAAATATAACATGACCAATAAAGAATTCTTTAGTTATTTGCCATTAAGGGATTGCTTAAGGGTCAAATAAAAAAAATTATCCCAAGATACCTAATACAACCTCTATGGAGGAACTTGTTTTTTTCTGATAAACCATTACATAAAACAATTTCTAGAATATATGATGCTTTGATGCTTAGACAGCCTTTGACTGACCCAGATAAGTCTAAAAGTAGATGGGAACAGGATTTGGGGATAACACTAGAAAATGACCTGTGGGGTCAGCTATGTAAAGATGGGGTAACCTCAACTTTGAATTCCAGATTTAGACTAATCCAGTTTAATTTCTTACACCAGCTTTAGTATACTCCATCCAGATTACACAAATTTAAAAACAGTACTTCTTCGCTCTGCTTCAGATGTGGAATGTAGAAGAAGGTACATTTTTGCATTCTACATGGCTGTGCCCTAAAGTGAAAGTGTTGTGGGTACAAGTATGTAATATTATATCACAGATTCATGGAGTTGATTTTCCCTTGGATCCAGAGATATGTTTATTGGGTAATTACACAAATTCTTACCTCCAGCATAATTATGCTATTAAACTTACCGAAATGTTGCTGACAATAGCTACAAAATGCATCGCTTTAAAATGGAAAACAGACATTGATGTACCAATTGGACTGTGGATCTCAGAAGTTTGCAACTGTATACCATTCGAGAAGATCACATATTCTTAGAGAGGAAAGGATGAAGTATTTAAAAAATATTTGGAATCCATTTTTGAACTATATTAAAACAGTACCACTTGAATTGATTTGACAAAATGTTTTTGTTTCTACTGGCTTATACTGTATCTCCTCCCTTTTTATTTATTCATTTAATTTAATTTTACTTATTTATTTAATATACTGTGTATGTTTTAATTTAGTTTGTTTGCTGTTTTGTTTTGATGTTCTGTATTGTTAATTCTTGAAAAAGCGAAATAAAAATATATAATCAAAAAAAACATTTTACGTGTAATAGTATTAGCCCCCTTAAGCGACATTTCTTTCGTCTACAGAACAAACCACTCTTATCAAATGACTTGCCTATTTACCCTAATTAACCTACTGTTGTTAAGCCTTCAAATGTCACTTTAAGCTCAATACTAGTATCTTGAAAAATATCTAGTCAAATATTATTTACTGTCAACATGGCAATGATAAAAGAAATCAGTTATTAGAAATCAGTAATTAAAACTATTATATTTATGAATGTGCTGAAAAGAAAATTCTGTGTAAACAAAAATTGGGGGAAATTATACAGGAGGGCTATTAATTCTGACTTCAACTGTATTTCAAGAGTTCACACTTAGCTGATGATCTATAAAAGCTTGTTTGGCATGCTGTCCTGGGAGAGAGTCCTGAGCTTAAGGGATCCTCGAGCCCAGGACTCCCTCCCGTTTGCAGAGCGAGAGGGGAGCTTGAGCTCAGGTGGATCTCAAAAACTTCCTGGCTGCAGTAGCTAAGGGAACACTTGAGAAAGAAGGGGGCTAGACAAGTGTCTGATTTGCTTAATCTGTTATGCATTATGTATATCTTTGGATGGTGGGAGGAAACCGGAGAACCCGGGGGAAACCCACGCAGACATGGGAAGAATATACAAACTCCTCACAGAAACACCCACCGGCCTGGTGGGGACCAGCCTTAACAGTGCTAACCACTGGGCCGCCGTGCCGCCTGGTCTATGATAAAGGAGGAGAATGGGGAGGAAGGGGGGTTTCTTCCAGATGAAGATAAATGTGGACTGAATGTGGATATGAACCCCATTTAATGAGTTTTAAACAATTGGATCTCTACTTAAATACAATTTTCAACATCTAATAACACGGGAGCAGTTAAAACTTCTACTTCTTCTGCTTTGTTTCATATTCTGCATTCATTTTTGTTTCCCTCTCTGCTTTCTTTCATTTCATGTCATTGTTATACTACTTTCAATTTAATTTATTTTTCCCTTAATCTCGGTGTGTGTGTGTGTATATATATATATATATATATATATATATATATATATATATATATATATATATATATATATATATATAATGAATTTAATTTTAAGCTCTCAGTTACAACATGCTTAATCCTAAGTTTGGTCTTGTGGAGTACAACAAAATGAAACCCAGATCTTCATCATGTATCACCATCTATTCACTCTCATGACTGTACGAACATTGGGATGTCAAAATAAGGGATTTGTCTATTTAATCACAAATCTAAATCCCAAAGTGTGCACTTTTGCTCCTCTTTAAATCGTGTGTAGGTAGGTACAGAAGCAGCTTTAATAAGTTGTTTTTAATGGAAAGCAAGTGAATCCGGCCCCTTTTATATTTGTTTTAAAAGTGCTTTCAAGCCAAAATGACTGAATTACTTTTATTTCAACAGATACTTTTTATTCCTTTCTGTAGCATCACTTGTAACAATTTCCTCTCAAATCTACAGTAACTTCCTGGCAGCAGTTCGCCAGTAATTTACTGTAAGTCAAATACAGCAAAAAGACTGAATTTACATTTACAGCACCATTTATCTTGCTGTATATGTATTTACAGTATTGTTTATATGTCTTTACTATAAAATATACAGTCATTTTCACAGTGCGACGTTAAAATGCAGTAACATACTGTATTTTACTGTTGGACAGTTATGCATCTCATACTAGTTAAATACTGTGTAATTTACTAAAATTGTTAACAGTTGAAATGAATAAACAAAGAGTGTATATATCATAGTGTAAAATAAATAAATCATACAGCAAAAAATAAATAATAATGGTTCACTTAATAAAACTGCAGTGCGTAACATTTTTGCTATCTTTTTATGATTTGATCTTTTAAAGACTGCAGAAAGGTCCGCAGCAATGCATGATGGATGGAGCTGCATGATAAATACCTGAGTTTATCTTAAAAAATGCATATTATGATCCAGAGATCTTACCTAACGAGGTTTAATGCATTTGTATATATCTGCTTCAAAAAAAGAATGTAAAATTGAGACGTCAGAATTTAATTTACACCCTGTCACTCAGTAAATCATGTATTTCTGACGTGAGGCAGGTGTGCTGCTCTCCTGCCTGGAGCAATGCATTGCCCTGTCCTGTTTTTTGCTGGGGTTTTTCATCTTAAAAAGACACGCACACACACACTCACAAAATGACTTTTGCTGCTTGTTCAAACAGCTTATTTAAAATGAGTTGAAGCAACACAATTAGTGCATTTTTCGAGGGACAACCTAATTGTTTTATGTTCAATCCACTTAAATTTGTAATTGCACTGTGAATATATGGTCAATTTTCATTTTTAGTTGAACTATAATGTTTTGACAGAAAAAGTTCAACATTTTTGGTTGATTTCAGTTTGAGGTGAAGGTGGGGAAAGTATCGAACAGTATACTCAAAGGTGCCCTATATAAGTTTGACACCCAGTGGTTGAACTAGGTATTGCATTCCTTGATCAAGGCAAGTTAATTTATATAGCACATTTCATACACAGTGGCAATTCAAAGTGCTTTACATAAACAGGAATAAAAGAGACAAGTATGAGAAAATAAAAACAAATAATAAAAAATATTTTAAAAACCTGTTTAAAACAAATACTAATGTTAAAACAGGTCATAAAAGAATGAGAAAAACATAATAGTGCGATCTGTTGGACATAGCACAGTGCTCATTCAGTAAAGACACAGCTGATCTTGCAGGATCTTGATGGTTTATTGTGGGTGTGTTGTTTACATGAAGAAATCTGTGGTACAAGTTAAACAAAAATTCTAATAGACAATTATATTTTGAAATTAAATAGTTTTTGTCTTGCGTTTGCATTAATTTTACATTTGAATAGCCAAAATTAAAAATTTCAGTCTTTTAAATGTGATTAATCACAATTAATAAAAAAAATGTGCAATTAGTTAATTTTTTAATCAATTGACAGCACTAATATATATGTTTCATCTTCATGCAGCATCATGATTTTCTAGAAAGAGATCTTGTGACTCCTGTCAGATCAAGTGTTTTCAAAGAAAAATGTTTAAATGTTTGATTGTAAACAAACAAGATAGAAAGTTTTAATTAAGCATCTTTTTCTAATTTTATTTTGGATTTACAGTGTCAAAAATACTGTAACATTATATTAATCCTGTTTTATTTACCTTTGAAATGGTTATGAGTTTTTTTTTCTTGTGTTGAACACAAAAGAAGATATTTTGAAGAATGCTGAAAACCTGTAACCATTGATTTCCTTAGTATTGGTTTTTCCTATGCAAGTCAATGGTTACTGGTTTCCAGCATTCTTCAAAATATCTCCTTTTCCGTTTAATGTAAGATAGAAAGTCAAATAGGTTTTTATACAAGTGAAAGCTGAGTAAATGATATACTCAGAGCAAAGTTATTTTTTGTAGTTGCAGTGCTTTGATTGGCCAATCAGATTTTAAGAATCAGGTTTGGCACCAAAAAAAAAAAAAAACTGACATTTCTTTGGCAGGGACTTTTATTATGAAACTCATGGACTAACGTCTGCTTTTTCTCCATCCTCAGACTCAGCGTCACGTGAATGACCTGTACGAAGATCTCCGAGATGGACATAACCTGATCTCCCTCCTGGAGGTCCTCTCTGGAGAGACGCTGGTGAGTGTAAACTAACTATCAAACTCAAATGATCTCTCTAATCCCACGTCAAAACCTCCAGCCTTCAGACAAATCCAAACCTGCCCTGGAGTATGTCTTCAAATTAGAAAAGCGTTTTGTTGAATCGCACCCAAAGCACTGGGTTCAGATATTCCAAGCCTAATTCCTGACATAACCCCATCAAACTGCTTGGTTTCTTGGCTGTAACTGAGACATGATCAGCGTTGGGTGGAGTTACTTACTGTAATTAGTTTTAATTAGAGTATAAAAGTAAAGTTAGGGTTCACTCAAAAGTTTTTGATCATTTTTTTTTTTTTTAAGATTTGTTTATTAGATTTTTTTGACAGTTAACAAACAAAGTAAAAAGAGACAATAACAGTACAAACAGAAAAAAATATATATATAACAGTACAACATTGATAAAAAAATAAATAAATAAATAAACCACACTATAACCCTCATATTGTGCGACACACAGTATATGACATGCATAAACACTATATGATGTGCATAAATCAATTTTCAAGTTGAGCATATAAACAGGTCTGTACGAGACGTTGAGGTTGACAGCATGGTGTATTAAGTAAAATAAACAGTAATAATAAAATAAAATAAAAATAAACAAACAGAAAAAAAATAGAAAAGAATTTTTTTTAAAAAAGCGAGAAAAAAAGGGAAAATGTATTAAACTAAATAGGCTGGGGGGTGGCACATTCTTAACTTGTGGTTTTATGTCAAGAAAAAGTTGTATGTTTGTGCTATGTCAGCAGCACTAATACTCAACTGGAAGCACAGATCAAAACAAAAATGCAAGAATGGCAACCATTTACTCCACAGTAATTGCCTCAAGTCTCAGAGTTTTAACATGTTCCAAAAAAGGCAACCAAATATTAGAAAATTTGACCACTGAACCTTGAAGACTATGTTTAATTTTTTCTAATTTAACAAAAAATAAGGCATCTTTAATCCACTGGGTATGGGATGGGGGTTGAGGAGACTTCCACTGCAACAAGATTGTTTTTGATCATTTAATTACAGCTACTTATAATATACTAAATAAAGAGAAGTTATATAATTATATAGTTATGTATATGCATTAGAATAATCTAGATCAAAGCCAAAACTGGAACTAATCTAAGCAAAACTCACAGAACACAGTTCCTTCGGCTCAGTCCCTTTATTTATTAGAGGTCGCCACAGCGGAATGAACCGCCAACTTATCTAGCATATGTTTTATGCAGCGGATGTCCTTCCAGCTACAACCCAGTACTGGGAAACACCCGTACACTTTCACATTCACACTCATACGCTACGGCCAATTTAGTTCATCCAATTCACCTGTACCACATGTATTTGGACTGTGGGGGAAACCGAAGCACCTGGATGAAACCCACACCAACACTGGGAGAACATGCAAACTCCACACAGAAAGGACAACTGACCCAGCCAGGGCTATGAGGCGACAGTGCTAACCACTGAGCCACCATGCTGCCCCCAAATGAACATGTTGGGAAGAAATACACTCTAAAATGCTAAAATTTCAAGTCAATTCTGGATGTAATATGAACTAATGCAAAGTTTACCCAATTTGCGTTTAAATAACTCAGCATTTATTAGATTGTATGATATAAAATCTTAATAAACAGGAAAAATCAGTAAAAGAGAAACATAAAGACATATTTAATTTAGTTTCTGTAGTTTTAACAAATTTAATTTTTTATTTAAATGTATTATCAAAAGTCGACAGATTAGAGATCAAACTCCCATAATGCAATTCACAACCGTAAATAAACGGAAAACACATGTAAGTCACAAAATACGGAAACTCGGTGTAATAGTATTTTCTTTTAAGTAAGTTACCCAACACTGGTCATGAGCTTCTCTCTGGGGCTGTTTCTCTGCTCTCTCCATCTCCTCTGACTCTCCATCTCTCTGCTGATTTCTCTGTTTGCTCTTCTGTTTCTGGCTGAAGCCGAGGGAGCGGGACGTTGTGCGGAGCGTGCGGTTGGTGAGTGATTGATGCGGACGCTTCATTGGCATGGGTCACTCACTGTGGCAGACCTGCGCATGCTCACACGTCCGCCAGTCGTCTTGTACACTGTTAAAAAATATCCATATATTAGCAGTTTCCCGTATTTTGTGATTCATGTTTTGATGTTTCCCAATTTTATTTCTGCTTTGAATTGTATTATTGGAGCTTGATCTTTCTTCCAGCAACTTTTAACCTTGGAAGGTTCTGAAAAAGTGACTTTTCTGAATATTTATAATGGTTTAAAGTGATATATTGTCTGGGTTGATGTTGTATATTACACTACAAAAACCCTGCCAGTACATTTTTTGTTCTTTTTACAGACTTATGTTATCTCTAACTACTAAAATGTCAATAAAAGTCACTTTGTTAAACTGCTGAGTTGAATTTTCAACATCAAAGAGCTGAGATCAACATCCCATAATGCAATTCACAACTGTAAATAAACTGAAAGCAAGTCACAAAATACTGATATTTTTTACAGTGTAGTCTTGCATTCATCTGCTTGCTGTTCGTATTAGAGTCCAAGTTGTTGATTTCAGGCTGATGTTTGTTTCAAGGTTACTCTCAAAAAGTTATATGCTTGATACTACTTATTTAAAATGAGCTGAAACAACTAGTCTTGAGATTTTGTTTGAAGTCAACTTAATTGTTTTAATATTCATTCCACTTAAATTTGTTAAGTTAACTTAATTGTTAGGACAACATGAAGGAATTGTTTGGAACCCTGCATTTATTTTTGCAGTGTGAAATATAAGTGTGTATGAAATATTGTATACAGTTAAAGTCAGAATTATTCGCCCCCCTTTGAGTTTTTTCTTCTTCTATAAATATTTTCCAAATGATGCTGAACAGATTCAGGAGTTTTTCACAGTATCTCCAATAATATTTTTTCTTCTGGAGAACGTCTTAATTGTTTTATTTCGGCTAGAATAAAACCAGCTTTTATTAAAAAAAATAAAATAAAATTAAGGTCAAAATTATTAGCCAACTTAAGCTATTTTTAGATAGTTTACAAAACAAACCAACGTTATACAATGACTTGCATAAATTATCTACCTAGTCAACCTAATTATCCGAATTAAGCCTTTAAATGTCACTTTAAGCTGTATAGAAGTGTCTTGAAAAAATATCTAGTCAACTATTATTTACTGTCATCATGGCAAAGATAAAATAAATCAGTTATTAGAGATGAGTTATTAAAACTATTATGTTTAGAAATGTGCTGAAAAAAACGTTAAACAGAAATTGGGGAAAAAATTAGCAGGGCGTCTAATAATTCTGACTTCATCTGTAAGTGTATCCAAATATCTAAAAACTTTATATAAAGTAGACCTGTTTTATTTACATTGAAGTCCCCGATATACTTACTGCAAATTTATTTTTTGTTATTTACATTACTTAAGACTCTGATTCCATTGACTTCCTTCATCCCGTATTCATTCACATTCACAAGTGTGTGCTAAATAGTTTTTCCTTTTGAGATGAAAGATGAAAGTTTTGTTTATGACCAGTAGAAGTTTGAAATGTCGCAGCACGACCTATTAGATTGCAACATTGCAGTAAATCGAAGTAGATTGCATACATTGTTTACATTTGGTCTGCATCGTATGTTCTATTTTTCTGCAAGAATCAACACATCAGATTAACACTGATGATTTATTTCTTATTATTATTATTTATATATGCTTTTGAATTGCATTACGGGGCCTTGATCTTTTCTCAAACAACATTTGATGCTGAAAATCTTTAAAAAGTGACTTTTATTGACATTTTTTTAATTGTTTAAAGTGATTTATTGTCTGGTTTGGTGCTGTAAAAACCTGGTAATAAACTGCCAGTGCTTTTCCTGTTATTTTACAGACTTAATTCTCTTTATATTATTTATAATGCATTATATTATTTCAAATCACTAAAACTGTAGTGATAGTCACTTTGATAAAACACACAGTTAAATTTTCATCATCAAAAGTCGACAGAGCAGGGAACAACATCCCATAATACAATTGACAACCGAAAATCAACAGACAAAAAAACTGTATATCATGAAATACGGAACCTTTTTGCAGTGTATTTGAGCTTATTTGCCCAAACTTGCTGTAGCGATAGCAGCTTTACATGACTAAACATGGTAATCAAGTGTCAGTTTCATCTTAATTATGATTAAACTTCAATTGCTATAATACATCAGCTCTATTTTTCTTGTCGTACGTTATCAACCAATGGCAGTTTACTATTCAGACTAAACATTTCTTGAATGTAAATAATAACAGGCTCCTTTTCGTTTTGTCTGCTTTTGCTTTTGAATGACCAGTTCACTCTTCACTTTGACCTGTAGTATATCGGGGTCTTGATTCTGGCGGCTTGCGCATGGCTGACACTATTTCTTTTTATAACATCATCTATCTGAACCTCATAGTTTGGGTGTGTGAAAGATAATGCAAATGAAATCTCCTGTAACCTTGGCTGTTAAATAAAATGTATATTTATTATGGAGAAATGTATGCACAAACAAAACAACACATACAGAATTTATAATGCATGCCAAATTAGTTTGATTAGTTCAATAGTTAGTTAGTTAACCACATGCAAACAGATAAACAGATTAAAAAGAAAAATCTCCACATAAAAACGCAAAAATGCACCTCAAAATTGAGCCATCCATCCAAACCAACAGGTGGCGATAAAAGCCTTTTATGCTAGGTTCACACCGAGTATTTGCGCAAGTACATTGCATACAAGTCAATGCAAATGTGAGAACAGAGGTGGATTACCATCCCGTCATGCGAACGATGCAGGATTCGCAACACATTTACTGCAAACTCAATTGCGTCCACATTTGCTGTGAACCCAGCCATGCTGGCCAATCAGAAAGAAGAAAACAGTAAACATGTTAATGTCATGAAATGAAAATTCTGGTTGTATTGTCCACACGACCACACTGTACCTAGAGTTTTGGAAAATCTTCACCCTGTACCCTACATTTTCGTGTGGACAAACAGCCCAAACTGCATCGAAAACTGCATCGGTTTTGACCGTCGCCATGTGGACAGATTTAGTCAGAATTTTGATTTATATAGCAAAGTTGTTTTCAACAATACATTCATTCACAATAATTTATCACACATCCTTGAAGCCACAACAGCATCATTTCTGTCTTACAATCTTAAAGACCCCACAGAATGGCTTGCATTTTCTGTTTTTACTTCTGAAACTGCAAGTTGTGGTGGGTTATATCTAAGTAATGCAGATCTTGGTTATTTATTTAAGAACTTACTCGGTTCTGATTTCATGGAGTTTTTAATGTATTTGTAAAATATGATGTGTTTGCATTGTAAATGTTAAGTGGAAGGCTCACTGCAAATACGCGCCTCAAAATACGCTCGTAAAATACATCGCTCTAGGTATGTTTCATTGGACGTTTCAGATGAGAAATCCACTAGAGGCCGCTGTCTACATGGTCATCGGAGGCAGGGGCTTGTCGTACAGATAAGCTAGCGAACCACTAAGCTAAACCCTTCCCAAAACCCAACCAATAGTGTTTTCACAACCAGACGTAAAAGAAAAGTGCACTGCCACCACAGATTTACCTTGATTTTACATTGCTTTTCTCTCTTTTGTGGACGTGTGCTTCACCAGACTCTAACCCGAGCGCTCTGAAGCACAACAGCGTACAAAGTGAGCTATGAGAAAACTGAGCACGCCAGAAAAGTGTCCATATGGAAATCGATAAGTGACACAAACATATTCACTACTAATCACAGACAGCGCTTAAGTTTTGTGGTGTTTATTTGGTGTTTACTGCACAAAAAATAATTCCGGATTCATCAATAATACGTCCCTGTAAGTATCATTAGTGTGAAAAGGAACAAAAGTGGTTGTCGTCATACTGCCCCCTAGTGTTCATTTAGTGTTTCAATGAAGTGTGTTTTTGCGTTTTCACACAAATGTAGGCTGAAGCATGTATTTTCAATGAGCCTGTGTTGTTCTCCACACTTTCATTCCTCCATTCTGCCTCCTCTTGGTTCTGGAGGACGCAGCTCAGTCTCATCAGTGTGTTGTGTGTGTAAAGCTCTGTGTGTTTGTCTCCTCAGCCTCGTGAGAGAGGACGCATGCGATTCCACAAACTGCAGAATGTGCAGATAGCACTGGATTTCCTCAGACACCGGCAGGTACGAGACCTTTCCAAATGAAACTTTTGCACTCATTTACTCAGACTCTTTTGTTTCCAAACCTGTATTTTTATCATCTAAGGATGTGTAGCAGAATGCTGAGACTCCTTATGTTTTCTGGGAATACATTTCGCTCCCCAAGAAACTGATCATCAAAACATTATAAAAAGAAATACATACTATTAGTAGTCAATCTGTTTCAAATCTTAAAGCATTTACTTTGCATCTTGGAAGGTCAAAAGGAGGTAAATTATACAGGTTTGGAACATCATGACAAAGACACACCACTGTATTTAAACACAGAATCCATTCACAACCTCTACACTTTCTGCACATTCTTGGTCTATTTGGACACTAAGAACAAAGAAGAAGTCATAACTGAAACATATACAGCATATACTGTATATAATTACAGTCAATCAATTAATCAGTAACTTCTAATTAATGAGTGAATCTTAAGACAGTTTAAAAGTTTTGATTGTTACCATGTTTTAAAATCTTACTACATTTACCATTTTATTTTTAATTAAAGGGTAATTTCTCAACATATTTGTAAAAATTAATGTTGTATAATGATGGTTTGTTCTGTAGACTATCGGGAAAAAAATTTGCTAAAAGGCGCTAATAATATTGTCCCTAAAATGGGTTTTAAAAAATTAAAAGCTGCTTTTATTCTGGCCGAAATAAAACAAATAAGACTTTCTCCTGAAGACAAAATATTATCACACTTAATGTGAAAATTTCCTTGCGCTCTTAAACATCATTTAGAAAATATTTAAAAAAGAAAAAAAAATTTATAGGGGGTTAATAATTCTGACTTCTACTATATATATATATATATATATATACACACACACACACACACACACACACACACACACACACACACACACACACACACACACACACACATATACATATATATATATATATATATATATATATATATATATATATATATATATATATATATATATATATATATATATATATATATAGTATTGTTTGCAAAGTTTTAATGACATTCCAGCGGTCTCTGCATTAAGATATGAACAGATAGACAAGTAATATGTACACAAAATTGAGAAAACCAAGCCACTGTTTTCAGAATATAATGGCTAGCTAGCAAAAGACAGTATTTAGTATAAATCCATATACCAGACCCAAGTTAATTTTTTTTGCTCTGTCCAGGCATTCTCATCCTGCCTCTATAATGCTAAATTAAGGTCTGGAGTCTGTGGAGGCCATTTCATGATTGTTTTGGCTGTTTTTGTCTTTAAATATCATATAATTTCATAATCAATATAATTATTTACATAATGTCATTACTGTACAGTCGAAGAGTGAGAGATTAATAATAAACTGAAAAAAATTACTCAAAGATGATTCCTTGGATTTACTCAATTTCTTTACGTTAAGAGGTTGTAAACAATTTATTTGGGCTGAATTTAAACAAACAAATTAAGTTGAACATTACTAAACTTAATTTGTTTGTTTAAATTCAACACAAACAAATTGTTTGCAACAGTTCTGCATGCAACACTTTTTTCAGTGTACATTATATTATAAATAAATATATTTTTCAATATTTTCTCTACTAGAGAAAGTCTAAATTTGTTTTATTTCAGCTAGAATAAAAGCATTTTAATTTTCTAAAAAACACTTTAAGGACAAAATTATTAGCCTCTTCAAGCTATATATTTTTTTCAATAATCTGCAAAACAAACCATCGTTATACAATAACTTGTCTAATTAACCTAATTAAGCCTTTAAATGTCACCTTAAGCTGTATAGAAGTGTCTTGAAAAAATGTCTAGTAGATTATTATGTGCTGTCATCATGGCAAGCATGCATATATACACCATACTACTGATCCTATATACTAATTTCCATATTTTAAAGACATTTAAATTTAAAAAAATATATAATTGAATGCAGTGCTTCTTATTTGGTCTGATAATCACTTTATATCGGATCTCAGCCAGGCAGTGAATATTTCTGTTTTTTAAAGAAATCGCATTTTAAACGTGGCGGTTTGTATGGGATGACAATTAACCGGAATCCTGGAGCTTGCTGACTGAATTTAAAAGTTTGTGTGCATATACCCCATTTGTAGGGCAGTCTCTCAGATCAAACTTTAACTCACAATATATAATAATTGAATTGTTGATCTTCTCTGCCAATCACAGGTCAAGCTGGTAAACATCAGGAATGACGACATCGCTGACGGAAACCCAAAGCTGACCCTGGGTCTGATCTGGACCATCATCCTCCACTTCCAGGTCTCCTATTCTGTCAGTGTTGAGTTCCCTTTACCATTCACCTCCTCCTGCTTCCTTCTGGGCTCCGAATCAGTCTGGGTCAATCACTTCAGTCAGTCTGGGTCAATCGCTTCAATCTGGGTCAATCGCTGGGGTCTCTCTGGGTCATCCTGATTTTAAATCTTCCAATCAAACAGTAGACGGTCAATCATTTTCACTTTCATACCAGTATCTGCCTCATGAAATTAAAGTTTGTCTTGTTTAATAATGTCCTTTAATCAGGCCCACTCAACAATAATAATCTGAGTATGCAAAAATGAAGGAGTCTCTAGGTAAATCAGCTCAGGCTTTTGGCGCCATGAGGTCTCCAATGTAATCTAATTCCATAATCTAATATCCAGGCTGTTTTTCAGATCTAAATGAAGTGAATCTGCTGTTCAATGTGTGTAATTACAGCCTCAGTTCTGATTCATTTCACCTCACACAATTAAAAACAATGGGAGATACACACTAATTCAGCCCGTTACGCTTATCGGGTCAGTCACTTTCCTCAGATGGATGAAAAATGTTTGTAGGACCAGAAAGGTTTTGGTGGATGTGTTTAGTATAAAAGATGTCCACGATCTCAGGAAATGAAAGAGTCTTTAAAGACTGAAAAGATAGAGTTTAATATGGTGCCAGATCGTTTCTTGAAGATTAATGTCCTTCTGCAATCTTCTGTTTTTGTGATGACACAAAACAGCTGAAATCACACTGTGTTTATTTGTCCAAAAGAATCTGTAAATGACATAGTAATGTTATTTTAATAAGAAATATACATAAATCATTTATTGAGTACAGATTACAGACGTGCGTTATATTGAATAATTTGGCAACGTTATGTCACTCATATTTAGATTTCTTTTATTTGCGGAAATTGTTAAATATGAATGTAGAAATATTAATTCCAAAGCTAACGCATCCCATATTTTCATAATAACAGTCCCACATACATAGAAAATAGTTAAATGTTAGGAGGCTTGGTTTTGACATTGTTGTAGTCTAACTAGGAAAATTTGTGGCCCTTTATTTGCATTTAAAATGCTTTCCATGCCTAAAACATTTCCATTTACAACCCTATGATTTGCTCCTCGAATGAAAGTCTCTGTATTTACCTTATTTGGAAGGGTCATGAATATTAATGAGCTGCAGGGGGTGATTAAATGCATAATTTATCTTTATTCATATTTTGTATTTCAAAAAACTGTAATGAGATGAAATGCTCCATGCCATTAACTTATCCCAAAGTTGACGCATCTCCTATTTCCAAAATAAGAGTCCCACATACATAGAAAATAGTTAAATGTAAGGAGGCTTGGTTTTGACATTGTTGTAGTCTCACTAGGAAAATTTGTGGCCCTTTATTTGCATTTAAAATGCTTTCCATGCCTAAAACATTTCCATTTACAATCCTATGATTTGCTCCTCAAATGAAAGTCTCTGTATTTACCTTATTTGGAAGGGTCATGAATATTAATGAGCTGCAGGGGGTGATTAAATGCATAACCCATCTACATTCATATTTTGTATTCCGACAAACTGTAATGAGATGAAATGCTCCATGCCATAAACTTATTCCGAAGCTGACGCATCTCTTATTTTCAAAATAAGAGTTCCACATACATATAATCAGCTTTGTTAAACTTAAGGAAGCTTGAGGAACTATTTTTGTCATTGTTGTACTCTCACTAGGAAAATTGGTGGCCCTTTATTTGAATTTACAATGCTTTCCATGTGTAAATAAATGTCTATTTACAACTCTAGGATTTGCCCCTAGAATGAAAGTCTCTGTATTTACCTTATTTGGAAGGTTCATGAATATTAATCAGCTGCAGGGGGTGATTAAACGTATAATTTTATAATGAGATAAAATGTTCCACGCCATTAACTTATCCCAGAGCTAATGAATTTCTTATTTTCAAAATGGCCATTTATTGGCATTAAAAATGCTTTCCACGCTTAAAAAATTTCTTTTGTAAATTTGATTCTGACACAAATAAGGGAATCTTGTCTTTGACCCAAATATATTGTTGCTTTAGATGTGGGACATGTCAATGTGTTTATAAATTGTTGGGCCACATGAATCTCAAGGATCCTGGGTATAAGTTCAGGGCATCTGGTCAGTCATATTTAGTCAAAATAGCAGCCAAAAATAATGTTTGTGTTTCTGGAATGTAAACATTCTGCAACATTTAGTACCGCATTTACATTGTGGTTTTAAGAAGAATCATTCAAACACTCTAACATTTATTTTAGTGAATCTATTCATTCAGATGGAACTGATTCATTGAATCTTAATTTTGCCAGTATATCAAACAAATATCCTATTTAATTAAGATTTTATTAAATATATTGTAGTTCATTTGTTGTTGTATATCTAGTAAACTTTAAATTTTAAATTGCTCAGTTTGAGATCTCATAGTTTTTTGTGGCAGATACTGGTGTTTACTAAGATACATACAGATCCTGACTGCATTGGATTTTTCTTTAAATCTGTTTATTTTTGTGGTTTTCGAGATAACAGGTCTCAGAAGGTTCTTAAGAGGTCAATGGTATTCAGAGGGGCTGAATTCGTGTTGTGGTGCATGACTGAGATTTGTGCGTGAAATCAATCACTTTGATTATTTATTAAAGATGCCATAGAATGTATTGTTTCAACTGTTGAAAGGAGTAAATCTACATAGAAATTGGCTTAGGTACATGCAAAAATTATTCAGAAACATGTCCATTTACAATCCTAGGATTTTAGATTTAAGCTCTGTCTTTACCTTATTTGGAAAGATCATGAATATTAATGAGCTGCAGGGGCTGCTTAAATGTATAATCCATCTTTTTTCTATTCTGTATTCCGACAAACTGTAATGAAATGAAGTTCTCCACACCATTACCTTATCCCAGAGCTAACGCATCTCTTATTTTCAAAATAAGAGTCCCTCATACATAATCAGCTTTCATATTTAGTAGCCAATCAAATGTTGCTATTATAGCAACCCCAAGTATGACATCACAGTCTTAGTTTTGTTCTGATTCACATATTTTTGTTTTCTTTTGCTCAACTTGTACTTCAATGTACTGAACTCTTATGTTTAGCTATATATGTTTTTTTCATTCTATGGCACCTTTAATTTGCATCCGATCAACACCATTACTGCTACAGCATGTTCTTAATGCACAAGGCTCATGTTTGTGGGCTGGTAGATTTCAGATATCCAGGTGAACGGTCAGTCAGATGACATGTCAGCCAAGGAGAAGCTGCTCTTCTGGTCCCAGCGGATGGTGGATGGATATCACGGTATCCGCTGCGATAACTTCACCACCAGCTGGAGAGACGGAAAACTCTTTAACGCCATCATACACAAACACGAGTAAGTGCCTCCTCATCAAACCTTCGGGCATTAGACTATTTTATAAAAACTATTCGGATGTTTAGTCAAAAACTGAGAGACTACTGCTGATGATACTGACTAACTTTGCCACTTAACATAAACAACGATCATTGATCGCTCGTTTACCAAATCCGTGTAGACAGGGCCATCAACCCCAACTGGAACCGCATCCTTTTTTATAAAGGAGATCAGTGGCAAATTTCACCATTTGCAGATTCGAAAGGCTCTCGGATAAAAAATGTTCCTTACAAACATATTTTTGTTGCATGTTAGCAGACCACTGTAATCCAACTGCTTTGATCCACACGCGAGATGTGCTCTCATTGCAAGATATGGAACCAAAAATTTTGTTTTGGCACATTTAAAAGGGAATCCCAGTGACCCATGTCTCTGAACAATTCTTCTTCCACTTGTTTTAATTATGTCTCTGAACACTTGTAGTCTTCGAAGCTATATCATGCATATTAATGAAGTTGCACTCATTCACAATAGAGCATGCTGATTGGTTCGAATCAAGTTTTTCTTATGAATTAATGCTGAAAACTCAATGACGTCATGTTGTACCCGCCAGGACAGACATCCAATCTCCACGCTGAAATTTACACAAGGTTCTAATCGCCGTGACACAGCTTCAAAATTTCTTTTCAAACTAGAAGAACGAATTTGCTCAAAATAACTCAAAAACAACCAATTTTCACTTTTTAGTGAAAAATAAGTGTCCTTATAGCATTTTTAGTAACATGGGACCCTTATATGACTGTGTTCTGGTGTTTCGTGACCCTTTAATTACTTACCTGACTGGCAATGTCAGGGTTGGTGAGGGGAAATAGGTAAAAAGGAGCGAGGACTCAAGTGCAGGAAAATGGGGAATTTATTAAATTAAAATAAAATGCAAAATAAACTACCCCGAGGGGGAAAACATTAACAAAACAAATACATACACATACAAACAGGACTGGGCAGGTTGACAAGGCTGAGGACTGGAAACATAACAGGACAAGACTTCATACAACGACATGTGATGACGAACTGGCACAGGACAGCAAATGTGAGGGGTTTATAACTGTAGAAAATTAACACACAAACAGGTGAACACAATTAACTAATAATGGGTTAACAAGGAGGGTGGGACAAGACAATAGACGGGAGAGCGCATGACACAGAGAGACAACACAAGCCATGCGCTCACATAACAGGACAAGAACATGCAGCCAATGAGAGAACTCATTAACCGCATGTTCATGACAAAAAACACAACACTGAAGCACACGACAAAAGCACGTGACCACAATGTGAACACCAAGCCACGTGCTTTGACAAGAGACGCAAGACACGAGCACACAATAGATAAACACCTTACCGTGCGCTCACACATAAGCAACGCGCATGCTTCATCTCAGTGCCAACCAACTGAAACCAACTAGACGTAGGCGCCGAGAATAAAGCAGCGCGATGCTGACAGAACAAACACAAACACTAGTACAAGAGCCACATCAAGCGGCAGCGCGCACACTCCGCGTACACCCACGACGGCGCGCGCGCACACAGAGACAGAAACAGGACCAGACATGGGTAGTGTCAGAGCTCTGCCACCAAAACAAGAATTTACAAGACCAGAGTGGCAGAACCCTGACAGGCAATTTATTTTACTTTAGATTTAAAGATATTTGTACCACTTAAATATCCTGAGAAATGTAATCTTCATAGCATGCACTGAAATGAACGATACAGTATTTTGCAAATGAAAAACAACAGTCTTAAAATGCCACCCAGATCAAATGAATGAGTTTTCTATATAGAGGGTGTGTCACTGTTATTGACGCAAGAACAAAAAGACAGCAGGAAGAGTCTGAAAACAACAGTAGTTCTGAAAGCAGAGCACAATAAGTGTAGTACAGCTGAGAGCTGAAAAGATTAAAAGCACAAGGTGTGGCTGCAGATGAGCCAGGCTTTCCCGTAGGGCGTCTAAAACATGGACGTGTACCTGCAGAGCTTGGGTACATCCCACTGACCCTGCTTTTGTCAGCCAGATACACCTAGAGGATCCGTCGTCACATCTGCCTGCATTCACAAACCATTTACTCTGACAAGAACTCGCTTCAAATGGATGTTAAGAGGAGATTCTGATATCTGGAGACTTTTATTTAATTTTTTTATATCGGATTACTCTGTGAGAACATCGGGACATCATGTTGCTGAACATGAAGCGACGTCTGTCGTTTAAGAAGCGCCGGACGGGCTCCAGCAGCACTGTGGCTTCAGCGAGTGATCTGGAGGATCGCGTGGTGATGTTTTGTGAGGAGATTCCCTCAGAGAGCTCGCTGGATTCTGGCCACGGCTCCCACAGTCCAGACACTCACTCGCAGATGGGATACGGGGCAGACTGGGGCTCAGAGATCCACAGAGGCTTCAGGATGGAGGATCTGAGCACGATGGCAAATCACAATGGAGAATACTATACCATGATGACCGGGTGCTGGCTTTATTTTTAAACTCTCTTGCTAGACAGAATGCAAATTAGGCATTAGCTATGTTTACATTTAGATGCTTTGATGGAAACACCAAGATGCACTTCAAAACGTATTTCGTAAAACAGAGTAGGATAAACCTTTTCCTTTTTTTACTTCACTTTTTACCTTTACTGAATAAATTCCAGTATGCGCAATAAATTAAGTCATGTGATTTTGTTTTAAAAGATCATGTGGTGATAGAAAGGGGTGTGATGGACAGCATTACTGGACAAACCAGCGAAGCGAGCACATTGAAAAACATCTGAAATGCTCTTTTGTGCATTCTAAAATCCCTCAGCTAAAGTCTGTAATCACAGTGGTTCAGTATTATTCATTTATTCATTCATTTTCTTGTTGGCTTAGTCCCTTTATTAATCTGGGATCGCCACAGCGGAATGAACCGTCAACTTATCCAGCATATGTTTTTACGCAACGTATGCCCTTCCAGCTGCAACCCATCTCTGGGAAACATTCATACACACTCATTCACACTCATACAGACTCATACACTACAGACAATTTAGCCTACCCAATTCACCTGAACAGCATATCTTTGGACTGTGGGGGAAACCGGAGCACACAGAGGAAACCCACACAAACGCAGGGAGAACATGCAAACTCCACACAGAAATGCCAACTGACCCAGCCAAGGCTTGAACCAGCTACCTTCTTGCTGTAAGGCGACAGCACTACCTACTGTGCCAATGCGTCGCCCCGTTTCATTATTATTATTATTATTATTATTATTATTATTATTACCTCCAGAACAGCATCTGCGATCCCAAAGAGCATCCCACACCTTCAAAAGCCACCGCATTATGTTCATTGCATTTCGTCTTCTGAAGTCTTCTCCTACCGCAGCAAATTGTGTTTTTCTTTTCGATATTTGGCAGCGGTTTATCAGAAAGTGACAATATAGTTTTCTTTAATTTAGTGGATTGAAACTTTGCCTTATTTGCACATATTTTATGCTATATTCGCATTTTTGGATGGAAATGTAGCTATTTACTCTGCGGTGGGGGTCTTTTTTCAGTAGTTTGTGTAATACTTACTATATGCATGCCTCGCACATCATGTTGCCAAGCACGATGAGATCCTGAATTAACATTTATGTTGATCCTGGAACATAATTTTGTCGAAAAATGTAATCCATTCCTATTCACTACCCCTAAACCCAACCATAACTGTAAATTATTCCAAAATCAGCAGAGACTAACAGTTTGATAACAATCATGTAGAAGTGCATAAGCCTAACCCTAAGCCTAAACCTAAACGGATCCCTTCATTCTGATTGGCTGATTGGAATGTTGTTCCAGGATCAACATAGATGTTAATCCAGAAACATGTCATAATTGGTGGAATCAGATGCCTCAGTGAACTAAATTCATATATTTAATTCAATCGCATCTCATATATTAATCAAACTTATTTTCAGTGTTTTTAGAATTATAGATAATGACTGTATTCTGACGTACAGTAACATATCATGGGTTTATTCTACAAATGATTACCAAAGGCAGCCTGTTTTTGATATAAAACGTTGAGTTTTGCAGATCCTAGACAAGTTTGCATTCCTAAACCAATAAATGGATGATCATAAAAGATCACACTTACTGTCTACTGTATATTTGCGCATATGTGTCTATTAAAATACACACCATAGTTCAATTTTACTTCATGTTTAGCCTATACGCAAATACAAACACCTAATGTACTAGAAAAGGTTTCTTCTGAACACTCAGCTAGATCTGATCTCTGACCACCGACTGAATATTTGTCTGCATCTCTGCTGACAATGGTAGGAATCATTTTAGGTCGTATAATATATATACAGTCAAGCCCTGGCAGATTCTGACCTAATGTTCTGACCTAGTGTAAATGTGTGTAGAATTTGTTGGCTCTTGTTTGGAGCTGCTTCCATCGCTGGGCATTCAAGGCATGTGAGTTATGGCTTTATCCCTCGGGAGACAGATGTTATTCTGGATTTATGGAGCAGGTGTCACTTTACCTGCACTCTGAACTAAGATGGAACTTATATAATCTTGCAATACTCAAATAGGCCGAATGCAGTCAACCAAAATGGCTTTCTTTTCAGTAATACTGACAAATTTATAGTTTGTAAATATATAATTATAACTCATGTGTATTTAGTATATATATATCATTTTATAGACCTGAGCTAATGTGAACAAATAGTTGATTTCTTATAAATCAATGTGCTCTATGTAGACTCGTACACCCTTGTTATTAGCGATATCGGTGGCCATTTTGTTTAAGATGACAAATTCACTAGAGGGCGCTGTCTACTTGTTTGCAAATCTGAAAAATGTTACTTAGGATAAATTTTGTTGTACATTTCAGACTTTTATTTTTATGACAACTGACATTTTCTGTGCATTGAAATTATTTTTTTGGATAACATGAAAAAAATTTCCCAAAACATCACCCATTGTTTAGCCATGTAGATAACTTTCGGAAACAAGTACCACAATGAGCAACAATGGTGGATCACAGAGATGTGTTTGTTTTGCGGGCAATGCTAAGTTTATTATCACTGCTAAAACAATAAGAACTTCCCGCGCATGCTCACTGCATTCTTCGTGATTTGAGTGTATCCTGCAGCTCTGTCTGTGTTTGTTTACAGTGCCACATATAGGTGTGGCATACATATTACGCCCATGCAGACATTTCTAAAAACGTTACATGTATGGATGCCAATTTAGAATACATTTAAAATTTTGAAAACATTTAGAATATACAATATCAACACACTGACATTACAGTACAGACTGGCAAATTCTGCATTATCCAACGTTATTAGCGTTTGTTTCATGTATTGGGAAACAGAATATTTGCAATAAACATAGAGGGATTCAATTCATACATAAAGCATATTTAACATACACGAAAAAAGATTTTTGCTTCTTGATCAAACTTATTTTAAATGAGCTGTATCAATACAATTATTGAGGTTTTCTGGGGACAACTTAATTTTTTTATGTTCAATCCACTCAAAATTAAATTATCTTAATCAATTTGTGTTGGGACAACATGAAGATATGTGAGGAACCCAGTATTTTTTACAGTATACACTCTAAAAATATTGTTCAGACAAAACCAAAAAAATTGATGCAACCGTTTGCATTAATATATTCAAGTTACGACAACATCTAACAAAATAAGGTTCAGACAACAAACTTTATTATGTTAGCCAAATCTTTTCCTCTTCAATCAGAGGCATTTACACATAGCAAAAAACTCAGATTTTTAAGTCGAGTACTCAAAATAAGTTTTTTTTAAATAAAATTGAAAACAAATCCAGTGTTATGTACTTAATTACATGCATGTTTTCAAGTTTAGAAGCTCAAATATATTAAGTAGCTGAAATTGTTGAATTTTTTGTTTTGTTTTCGAATTTACTGTTCATGCTGGTAAGAAATACATTTAACAACAACATTTTTGTTTATTTGCATTAAACCCCAGGTTTTCTTTTTTTACAAAACAAAAACATGTTTTGTCCCATATTATCAGTATAAAAAATAACAAAAAACATCAGTGTGTGGACTTAAAAATACAAAACAACTCCATTAGTGTGTAAAAATTGAGTTATCAACCCAATTCCGTTGGTTTGCTACAAGTTAAATATTGGTTTGAAGTAACTGACTAAGTTTACCTTTAAATTAGCCGCATTTTTAAATTGGTGTAATTATCAATATTTACCTGTTTTGAAAACTTAATAAAGTTATTCTGGTTACTTGAAAGTTTTAATCTAATTCAGCATTTTAGAATTTTTAAGTTGCAATAGTGTATTAAACTATGTAGTGGTAACAGATATGTTGAGTTATTTTTTAGAGTGTAGATTCTTGAAAAATGTACTGCTTGTTGGTTAATATTAGTTCATGCAAGCCTAAACGAATGGAACCTTATTGGAAAGTGTTACCATTTTTTTGGTATTGGATTTCATATGTTGTGTATTCCAGCAGTTTCTAACCTTTTTGCCCACCTACTGGTGTTAATTTTTTTTTCTTCATTATTTCTTCAGACCCAGGCTTATCGACATGCCAAAGGTTTATCGCCAGACCAACATGGAGAACCTGGAGCAGGCGTTTACAGTAGCGGAGAAAGAGCTGGGAGTCACACGACTGCTCGACCCAGAGGGTAATAATGAATTTCAAGAAGTTATTCAATATTAACACTGAGTATCAAGCTAAATCCTGATTAAATGTGTTGGTTCATTGAGTTTAGGATCCCATTATCTTAAATACCTGAAAAATATAAAAAGTATGAGCAGTGTGTGATTCTAAATGTATTTTTTGTGTTGAAACTGGTCTTAAAGCCATCATGAAATCTAAATGTCCTATTATTACCAGCAGATGAACACAATCAGTGTTTAATATTTAGTTTATTTATTTATTTACCTTTTTTCATGAAGCCTTTGTAGCCAGCAGATGTCCTTGGCATGCTATTTCTAGCGCATTTGACCAGTGAATCCAGCTCGTGTTATCTACTAATTATTTTGACTTCAGCTGTATATGACTGCTAGTTGATATGTAAGTTACTTAAATTTACCATTGTATAAAGGGGACTATCAAAGTGAAATGTACCCACCTAATCAATTCAAAACATTCCATGCAATTAGCAGTCAAAAGCAATCAAATGCCCCAATCAGTTCCCGAAGGACAAGTTTAAGTTCTGTACATTTATTTTTTCTTGTTCAAGAGGCTGTTTGTTTCAGATGCACGTCATAATAGTTCTAACATTTGATCAGATTTTTTCAGTCACAATAAATTAATAGTGTCTGTTTCAACAAATGACTCACAAACATTCATAGATGTTCATTCTGCTGACTGATCTCTGCTTCTCATTGCAGATGTGGATGTGCCTCATCCTGACGAGAAGTCCATAATCACCTATGTATCGTCTCTTTACGACGCCATGCCTCGTGTACCAGATGTCCAGGACGGCGCCAAAACCAATGTGAGTTTTTCCCCTCATCGTTAAAAAAAATGACATCATTTCCACTTAACAAGACACTTCCAGACCGCAGTCAGCACATAGTCTGGTTAATATGCGGTTGAGTTAAATCTAATAAAACTAATGGAGCGTTTTCATGGATGAGGTTTTCCTTCTGTGCTGGCCCGTTCCCACAACTGCTGCTAAATGCCATCAGTGTCCAGTGTCAATGTGCAATGACGAGATGCTCATCATCTGTGGCTCCGGCTCAGACCTCATGATCTTTTTTCTGTTGTTCAGCAAAATGTTCATGATTTTTTGTTTAGTTACAATAGGTTAGAAATGCATTCGTTTACATTGGATTCACACTCACGTTAAATTGCTTTCACATGATTTAATTCACATGATAAAGCTAAATTAGCACCATGGAAACAAAGAAAATGATTGGATTTTGCTTGCAACTTTTTTTCCACATCAGCAAATGTTAACAATCTGTTTATTTTTATTTTTATGTTTATTTTTTTGCATTACATTTAGCCAGCAAATGTCCTTGGCTTGCTGTTTCTAGCGCATCTGACCAGTGAATCCAGCTTGTGTAATCTATCTCATCAAACTCAATATTGGGTTAAAAAGTATCATTATTAAATGTTGGATGTGTTTATACATTTGACCCAATGTTGGGTTATGACACCACAGGCAAAATCCACTAATTTCCTTTGTTTCCATGGTGCTAATTTTGCTTTATGATGTGAATTTATCATTTTAAACAACATGAAGCTGTTTGGTTTTAAAGTAAAAGTGATTCAATGTGAATGTAAATCCAGTTTACAAACTGATTACACCCTACTTACAAGTTCCTAAAATGAATAATGTATTCTAATAATATTCTATTCCCAATGATATAATTAATATATTCTAAAACCTTAAATCATTCGCTTTTAAAAATAAACAACCCAGGCTCATTTTTCAAAATAGCCCCACGGACGTTTCTGGCCGACCCAGCCTTCTCCTCCTCCTTCCCTAAACCCAAGCAACGATTTACAAAAGTCGTCTAGAAAAAGAAAAGCCTTTGTCTGATTTTGATGACATTTTTGCATTTCACCACATCCTCGCCCTGTTATGAACTCGTTCCCTTCATTTTTTGGATTCCCGTTTTTGTCTTACCTGATTTCTGGAACCGCTCTTCCCCAGAGTCAACGCGGTCGGCTTCCCTCCAGGTCTCTGCTCCGCCGACCTACACGATGAGCTAACCAGACACACTGGTTGCGAGTGCGAAGAGGAGCGGCGTCACACCGCCCCATAGCGTTCGCTTGAAAAAATGAAATGCAGCCATATGTACCTCCGGCCACGTAAATTGCGGTCTCCAGAAACGTCCGCGGGGCTACGTTTTCAGAATAAGCTTGGCTTGAAAATAAAGGGTTCAATGAATTTTCTGCACAACTTCTATACGTTTAATATTTTGCTAATTTATTTTTGTAAGTCAGGTATCCAGTGCTAATTTTTGTTGCCTCCGATAAAAATAATTTAATATTTCACAGATGGTAAATTGAACGAATTAAACAGACGGTGTGCACAAATATAGTTATCGTTACATTTAAATGTAAAGTTAGCATCTGTGGTGTGAACGGCCCTTTATTTCCGAGAGTGTGATTTGCATGTTCAAATATAGTGAATCATTTTGTCTTTCAAAATAAATACTGTACAATCTACCAAAAATATGTTGGCATAACCCAATATTGGGTCAAATGTATAGACACACTCAAAGTTAAATAAATTGGAATCTAATGACACTTTTTAACCCAATGTTGGATTTGATTAGATAGATTACACAAGCTGGATTCACGGGCGCCGATAGGGGGTGAAAGTTAGGACGATTCTATGGGCCCAAACCGTTTTGGTGGTATAACTCTTAATAGTAACTATGGGGGCCCAACCCAATCAAGGGCTGGATTCACCAGTATAGTGAATCATTTTGCCTTTCAAAAAGTGATTTTGGCCTCCATGCTTACACGCTGAAGTCCTCCCGTTTGCTTGAAGTGGTAATAAACTTTGTGTGATCTGGATCCTTTCTGTCCAGCCTCACACAACAGCATCCAAACACTCTTGATTTGATTCCTCCCTCACACCATCAGCGTCTGTTATGAGCTAAATGATGTGTGTCACAGACCATCAATAAAGTCATCCGGATGCACTATTTTGGTGCTTTGAGTCCTGTTTTGCCTTCAGACAAGGCTGGGATTGTTGATGTGTAATTGAGAGAGCGTGGTGTGTGTGTGTGTTTCAGGAGCTGGAGCTGCGCTGGCAGGAGTATTATCAGCTGGTCACTGTCCTTCAGCAGTGGATCCGACATCACGTCCTCATCTTCGAGGAGCGCAGGTTTCCCAGCAGCTATGAGGAGGTGGAGGTCAGTGCTAATGTTTGCGCTATGTTGCTAACAGTGTTTACGTGCAGCTAATGAATGGATTGTAGTCTTTGTTAGCTGTTGTGCACACAGATGCGCATTGTCTGCTTTTCTGTGGGTTATTAAGATCAGCTTAGTTGGTTACCAGACTAGATTTGAACCTGGCAATAACACGGAAAGTTTTTTCAGTCAGCAAGCTTCACTAGAAAAACTACATTGGTTGATTAGCAAGAAGAAGTTATAGGTCTTTAAATCAATATGTACTGTTGTAATATGTACTGTTTTTTTTATATATTCTGAGTGCTTTTTAAGAGAAACTAGACTTTCGTCAACACCTTTTTAAAGATAATAGCTAATTTCTAATAATTAATTTCTGCCATACGATGATAACATAACTTGATATTACTTAATATTTTACAGGTTAGTTTGCAAGATACTAGTATATGGCTTAAAGGGCAATTTTAAAGTCAGTTGGGTCATGGCAGACTTCGTCAGTGGATAAACTGAACGCTTCACTAGCGAGAAAACAGCATCTGCAGCGCGAGGATAAAGAACGAGCCTCCTCCATTCAGCAGCTTTACTTTCTCTTTACTCTACTTATACTCTTTACTCCTTTACTTTTATGGATAAGGAAACAGTGTTGTACTTACGTCACTGAAGACATCCATTAGTCTGCATATTTAATTTCATTTCCTAAGTGCAAAGATTTGTTTCAAAACTATGTCTAAATTCAGTTATAATTTCCAGCAAACAACTAAATGAATAGTGATACATAATAAGTTATTATTATAAGTTATATCCAAATACACTTTCTATTAACCTTTATGGTGGTGTATACGTCTCCAAAACCCGACAGATGGACAAATATAAAGTAGTTTTTAATAAAGTCTTAATTAAAGCCTAAGATCTACTATGTTAATTGGAGTTATTGGATGTCAGTAGTTTGTTCTGTAGACCATATGAAAAAATATTCTCAAGGCATGTAAAAATATTGAACTGAAAAATTGTTTTAATTTTTTTTAGAAAGTTTTATTTCAGAAACAACAGAAACAAACAAGACTTTTAAAATGTGTCTTTTTTTAAATTTTCTATGCTCCATTAAACATCACTATATTTGTAATTGTGCATCTGTGTGATGATACTTTAGCTGTTTAGGGAAGTCATATTACATTTTTGTGGTTCAAATAAAGATTTTTACTGCATTTTCCAACATTTTGCCAATCATTTACTGTTACAGCATTTTTCTGAAGAGTTTTGTACAGCAGGATTATTGTTATCAGTTACTGTGTATAAAATAGGAAGCTTAGTGATTTATCAGTGCCACCTAAATTGAGATCCTTAATTTTTTTTGTGCAGTATTAATACAATAATTGACCCTTTGAATTGAACACAATTACATTTTATGGTGCTTAGTGATTTATCGACTGAGTTATGGTGGATTTGTGTGTGTTCACTTTATTCTGCCACCCAAATTGAGATTATTATTATTATATATATTTTTGTAAAATATAAATAGAATGTTTCAGTGCAAAATGCACTTCTTGTCTTGGCTTTATACAGCAGTGCATTAGGATATAATATAATATAATATAATATAATATAATATAATATAATATAATATAATATAATAATATTTGATTTGTTAGAACTCTTTAACGAAAATAAACAAAGTCTTTTGTTTGCTTTTTTATTCTTTTTTCTATTATATTTTGTATGTTTATTTAATGTTAAATAAAATTAATTTTTTCATTACATTTGTATCATTTTAGTTGTAGATAATGATAATGAATCTGGTACCCTCAAACACTGTGCTGCATATTTAGAAGTGTCTGTTTATTCATGTTTTATCATTTATTCATGTTTTGTTCCTCTGTTTTAGATTCTGTGGCGTCAGTTTCTGAAGTTTAAAGAGACAGAGCTTCCACCCAAAGAGTCTGACAAGGGCCGCTCTAAACAGCTCTTCCAATCCTTTGAGGTTTGTTCACAGCCATTAACACCTTAATTCCTAGTTAGTCCTAAATCCTCATTATTTAGTCGAGAAATATTTTATTTATTTATTTAAAATATCGATTTATTGTAATTTATTTAAGTATTTATTCATTTAAAATATTGATTTTATTTAATTTATTTAATTTTAGTATTTATTTATTTAAAATATTGATTTTATTTAATTCATTAAATATAAATATGTATTTATTTAAATTTAAATTTAATTTAGTATTTAGATATTAATGTATTATTTATTTATTAAAATATTGAATAATTTAGGTATTTATTTATTTATTTAAAATATTGATTTAATTTATTTAAAGTATTTATTTATTCAAAATATTGATTTAATCTAATTCATTTAATTGAAATATTTATTTATTAAAATTCTTAGTTACATTTATTTAATTTAAGTATTTCAATGTTAAATTATTATTTTTTTATTTAAAATATTGATTAATTTAAGTATTTATTTATTTAAAATATTGATTTATTTTATTCATTTAATTTTAGTATTTATTTATTTAAAATATTGATTTTATTTAATTTATTCAAAGGATTTATTTATTCAAAATATCGATTTTATTTAATTCATTTAATTTAAATATTTATTTATTTTAAACATTTATTTAATTTAATTTATTTAATTGAAGTATTTAAATATTAATTTATTATTTTTTATTAAAAATATTCATTAATTTAAGTATTTATTTAAAATATTGTTTTAATTTAATTTATTTTATTAAAATATTTATTTATATATTATTTATTTTATTTTATTTTATTTGTGTACTGCGCAAGAATGTAATAAAGTATCAGCAAATATTAATTCAAATATTTTGTAGTTCTATTTTGAACTTCTATTGTATCTAAAAACAGCAGACGTTTATGATCTAATGTCCAAGCTATGAATACACAACAAGTCTAAATGTTTTCTGCAAATCCACAGTTCACCAAAAAAGGACAATTCTGTCATAGTTTCCTCAACATCCACTTGTTAAAAGTATCTAATTGAGCTTCTTTCTCTTGTTAAACACTGAAGAATGCTGGGAAATAAACAGCCATTGACTTCCATAGTAACTTCTATAGTACTTTTGTATAGAAATCAACAGAAGACATCCATACTGTATATGTTTTCAACCATTGAGTGTGAGTAAATGATGAAGAAATGTTCTTTTTTTGTGTGAACTGTTAAGTGCTATGAGAGTTTATTAATAATTGAGAGTAATGAAGTTTGGTTTCAGTAATGTGTTTATTGTTGTTGTTGTCCTCCTCAGAGCGCCGTTCAGGCTGGTCAGATCAAGGTTCCTCCAGGTTATCATCCCATAGACGTGGAGAAGGAATGGGGTCGCCTGCATGTGGCCATTCTGGAGAGAGAGAGACTGCTGAGAATAGAGTTTGAGAGGTGACAAACACACCTGAAAACACACCTCACACATGTAGCCTTTAAAGGGTTAGTTCACCCAAAAGTCTTGCACATGCACGTTTACAACATACAGGACAACGCTTGCATGTTTTACTGGCTATAACGACAATACATTGTGCTGTCTGAAGTAAACACACACCCTGATCCAGGAGAGAAGATAATGGTGAGTTGTTTTTACAGGGTGTTTTTTTTTTTGGTGTACAAAACTGTTCTTGGAGCTTCATATGATCACAGTTCAGCCACTGAAGTCACATGAAATGTTTTGGCAATTGTTTTTTTCTGGACTAGCATCTCACGATATTTTCCGTCAATGGAGGATGAGGGAGCTCTCTTTTAATCTAAGATATCTTCATTTATGTAATCGATTCAGCATTTATGGGTGAACTAACCCTTTAACCTGTTGGCAACTGGGATTATGGGAATGGAATGGGCGGGTAATGAAATAACAGGGTCTGACTAGAATAGAAGCGTCCAGAAACTGCCATTACATCAGCCATTATTACACACAATGAAGAGCATTCTGGGCTAATAAGAGCTGCGTGACTAATGTCTTTGCCAGGTCTCAGTGCGGCCCTGGTTTTAGTGCACTTGATGCAAAATAAGATATCAAAAAGTGAGTTTGTGTGTTTTTTTTGCTCTGTGATTCAAGGTTACGTCTATATTTTCATTAATAGACTTGTCCAACTGCATACTATAGTAATTTATAATAAACTTTATAGAGCTTTATAGAAGTGTATTATGGTGTAGTTATTATATTAACAAAATTATGTTGCTCTATAATACTGAAGTATTAACTATTAGATAGAAAGTAATGAACACTGGAGTACACTTTAGTTTTTACTACAGTAAACTGTGGTGTATTGTAGTGTTATGTACTGTAATGTAATGTAATAGTTGTGGATAATTTGTTTATAATACGAATAGTTGTTATGTTTCCGTAGGAAACAGAGCACAATAGATTGCTTCAAGTAATTTACTATAGTACAGTTCAAAACACTATGGTATTTACTGTAAATGACTATAGTATTTTTTACACTAGTGAATGATGTAGCATAATAACATTTAGCCAATCATAACTCATGTATATGATATATGCACACTGTAAAAAGCCATTAGTTTACTTTAAGAAAAGGTAAACCTGTTGCCTTAATATTTTAGAAGACATGCTTATTGTAAATATGTACCCCCGTTTCTTTTCTAGAAAGCGCGAATTATGTAGCCAGATGTTTGAATGCATTTCATCTTTGAAACAAACGGTACCTGGCAGTATGACAACGGCTTCCTTTCCTTTTCGCGGTACCAGCTGACCGCTAACCTGTTATCAGTTTGCCCAGTAGCTCGCCACGTACATCGGCAGAATTGGGACGCAGAAAGGAGTAGACCTTGACGACGGGGTTCGAGTCCGGCAAAGAACGCTTCTAGAAATATACACAATATAACACAAATAAACAAGTAAATAACAAAGTGAGAACGTAGTAAGATCTAAAAACGTGGTAAAAAAAACAGGTGCCACGAGGGATTTTCTTTGTCTGCATTGCTTTTGAAAACACTATTGGTTGGGTTTAGGGAAGGAGGAGGGTGAGAGATTGGTGGGTCAGTCAGTCAGTCAACAGCAGCCTCTGGTGGATTTTACGAAAACAAAAACTGCAAAAAAGACATGCCTCCTGGGATGTATTGTGCTCTATCCAGAAATGTATTGTGGGGTAAATATCCATAATAAAAACAAAGGCTCATTCTGAAAATGTAGCCCTATATACATTTCTGGAGATCATGAATTATGTAGTCAGAGGTAGGTATGGCTGCATTTCGTCTTTAAAACGAATGTTACAGGGTGGTATGACGCCGTTCCTTTTCATGCTTACCAGCTGACCGCTTAACTCCGTATGGACAACTTTCCCACTGTTACCAGTTTGTCCAGTCAGCTTGCCATGTACGTCAGTGGACTTGAGATGCAGAGAGGACAAAAAGAGAAGCCAACAAGTAAAATAGACAAGTAAACAACAGGGTGAGAATGTGGTAACATGGTAAAAAATGTGGTAAAAATCAGGCGAGGGCTTTTCATTTTCTCAATTGGTTTTGAAAACTGTCAGTTGAGTATAGGAAAGTGGGTGGGCGGGTCAATCGGTGCTTATGAAAACACTATTGGTTAAGTTTTTCGAAGGAGGGTGAAGGGATCGGTTGGTCAGTCAGTCAGTCAGTCAGTCAGTCAGTCGACAGCAGCCTCTGGTGAATTTATGCGAGAACAGCAGGTGTGAATGGCACTCGCGAGAGAAATTTGAGATCTAAAAAAGCATATACAGCAACTTCTGGTGGTTTTGTAAAAACAAAAACTGCAACAAAAAAAAAAATTACCTCCTGGGACATATTTCATGTTTTTCAGAAATGTATACAGGGCTACGTATCAATAATGAGCCTGTGTTGAATTATTAAGTAAACAAAGTATGTGCATAATTACAGTATAAAAGTTAAGTGAATATGTTAACTGACTTTTTTAAGTAAAGTAAACTTGTTGCAATGAGTTGACTCACTTTTTTTAAAGTAAAGTAACTAATCTCTTTTTTCAAGGTATTTTTAAGGTGCAGGAGTGGAAATAAAATAAATAAATAAAACTCATAGAACAGGTTGTTTTCATGCAAAAAAATCTTAAAGCTTTGTTAGTGTTTTCATGTGTTTTCAAGTGTTTTTCATTTTTACGACATTTTATGACAATTTTACAACATTTGTGACATTTTTACGACATTTTAATTTTTAATACATTTGGTTTGACTTTTCGAACTCTAAAACAATACTTTGAATCATTGAACAAAACTGTGTTAATCGAGTGATTTTCAAAATGTTCTGTTCAGTTTCTGCTCAAGAAAAGACTCGATCTCTAATGAATGAAAACTAACGTCTAGAAGAAATTAAATGAAGGTTATCGATATCCATCATCTAGCAGGAGAGGGGAGTCTGGTCTGAATCAGAACACACGTCTCCTGTCACAAGACAATGTGTTTATGGCCAGAGTAATAATACGCAGCACACAGTTTCTTTATGGGCTGAGTATTGACTGACCAAACACCACAACAACTCTTTCTGGCTGCGGTTTGGTCTCATGACGGGATTATAACAAGAAAAAAACATGTTACCGATGTCTTGCATGCTGTCGGACTGTAAAAAATGGCGTTTGTGACAGACCCGTATCGTTTAGAGTATTTACTTCGTCGTGGAAAACTGTGAGTTATTTATGCTACATGCTATATTGGCTTATTTATTTGTACAGCTCACATCCCAGTGATATCACAGTGACAAGTTATTCTGTATTTAATTATTCTGTTAAGTTCACGTTTCACGCTATTAACAATCTATTGACCAACACTACTAGCTTATTAATCTACTAAATAGCTGTTTATTAATACTTAGTAGTTGGGATTTGGCTAGGATTAAGCATGCATAATAAGATCATCCTTTTTAACCACTAATGAACTATTAATATCATAGTAATAGGCAGGTAAATACAGTGTGTTCTGACATTAATATGTGTCTGTTGCAAAATATATTGGTATAATAAGGCTCCATGTATTTACTAACATGAACTAATAATGAACAATACTTGTACAGCATTTATTAATCATAGTTCAACATATACTAATGCATCATAAATTCCAAAGTTGTGCTTGTTAACATTAGCCAATGCAGTTAACAAGAGCCAACAAAGAATTACTTTACATGATATAGCTGAATAAATACTGTGTTAAATCTATTGTTTATTGTTTAAATAAGTACATTAGCTCACATTAACTAACGGGACATTATTGTAAAGTGTATATCTGTTTGTGATCTGCGTACCCCAGACCTTTGACTAAGTATAACAGCACGGCTTAATCTGCCTTAAAAATGCAACAGTGATTTAATAACTGTGGTGATTCTGTGATTTCCAGGTTAGAGCGTCTCCAGCAGATCGTCAGTAAAGTGCAGATGGAGTCAGGCGTGTGTGAGGAGCAGCTCAACCAGACCGAGTCTCTGCTGCAGACGGTGAGAGTCTCACACACTTATTATCCATTGTATTCAAAATCTCCCCTATTAAGTTTGATAGCCTCATTCACTATTCCCTATATTAGTCCACCAATATAGCCTGGAACGCTCACAAAAAATTCACCACACTACAACAAATTAGGTTTGTTGTTTGCCCAAACTACTTATTTTATTTACTTAGTTCTTTGTACAATGACTTTGTTTGCTGATTTATCTTCACATTTAAAATTTATATCTATATATATATATATATGTACAGTTGAAGTCAGAATTATTAGCCCCCTTCGATTTTTTTTCTTCTTTTTAAAATATTTTCCAAATGATGTTTAACAGAGCAAGGAAATGTTCACAGTATGTCTGATAATACTTTTTCTCCTGGAGAAAGTCTTATTTGTTTTGTTTCGGCTAGAATAAAAACCTAAAATAAAATAATAAATACAAAAATTTTAAACACTATTTTAGGGACAAAATTATTAGCCCCTTTAAGCTATATTTTTTCTCGATAGTCTACAGAACAAACCATCATTATACAGTAACTTGCCTAATTACCCTAAGCTGCCTAGTTAACTTAATTAACCTAGTTAAGCCTTTAAATGTCACTTTAAGCTGTATAGAAGTATCTTTAAAAATATCTAGTAAAATATTATTTGCTGTCATCATGGCAAAGATAAAATAAATCAGTTATTAGAGATGAGTTATTAAAACACTCATTTGAAAAAATCTGCTCTCCGTTAAACAGTAATTGGGGAAAAAATAAACAAGCGGTCTAATAATTTATACTCTATTAAGTATAAAAATCCCAATCTTAAGTTTTATATACTGCCAAATAAACATACAGGAACTGGTAAGTTAACCACACACTTCATTTTGCATTGAAATGCACAGCATTTTCTTCCTGTACATCACATATAGGGATTTCTCATGTTTATAGTGACAGCATATAGTGACATCTCGTGTTTTCATCACTCACTTGATGTAATTGTTGTAATAAGAAAATGTACATGCATTCATGGCTTTTGCATGAGCCCTTATGCGTTTATGATGTCCTTTGTTTCACCTATTTGACAGATGTAAAAATGCATACGTGTAAAAGATAACACTATACACTACCTGACAAAAGTCTTGTCTTAGCATCCATACATCTCTGCAATGACTCAAATAACTTTATTCTCAAGTCATCTGGAATGGCAAAGAAAGCGTTCTTGCAGGACTCCCAGAGTTCATCAAGACTCTTTGGATTCATCTTCAATGTCTCCTCCTTCATCTTACCCCAGACATGCTCTATGATGTTCATGTCTGGTGACTGGGCAGGCCAATCCTGGAGCAACTTGACCTTCTTTGCTTTCAGGAACTTTGATGTGGAGGCTGAAGTATGAGAAGGAGCGCTATCCTGCTGGAGAATTTGCCCTCTCCTGTGGTTTGTAATGTAATGGGCAGCACAAGTGTCTTGATACCTCAGGCTTCAAACCATCAAACCATGAAAATCAAACCATGATTTTTTCTTCACCAAACTTGACTGATTTCTGTGAGAATCTTGGGTCCAAGCGGGTTCCAATATTTCTTCTGCAGTATTTGTGATGATCGGGATGCAGCTCAACAGATGATTCATCTGAAAAATCAAAGTCAAGTTATTATTTATTGCTCATACAACTGGGATCGACGACTAGACTTTAGTCAAGTAGTGTAGATGCATAAGTTTATGTGTATAGCATGTCATTTGGGATGCAGCTATAGTCTTTTGCGTTGTACGCTAGTTATTGCGCTGCATTGTGGGATTGATTGAGCATACTTAAGAATGTCCACTATGGTTTTGTACACCACTACAAATGGCTGCTCCTTCAAAAAGTGCACTATTAAGGGTGTACAGTTGGTGGTTATTTCAGACTCAGCGTTTGGCTATGTATGTTATTGACTGTTGTCATGGCTGTTGTCACAGGACATTCGTCTTCTGAATGCTGGGAAACCTGCGCAGCACACAGTGGAGGTGGAGAGAGATCTGGATAAAGCCGACGGCATGATCCGCCTGCTCTTTAATGATGTTCAGATGCTCAAAGATGGACGCCACCTACAGGCCGAGCAGATGTACCGCAGGTGAGTTCAGATGCCGTGCACAAACAAACCCTCTATTAACTGCAAAATCAAACTGACCAATCAGAATCAAGAATTTCAGTAAGTCATGCAATTTAAATGTTTAAAGGACACAGACTGACATGTGATGTGTGGTGTTTTCTCAGGGTTTATCGTCTGCACGAGCGTCTAGTGAACCTGCGCAGTGATTATAATCTGAGGCTGAAGTCTACCGCCACTGCAGCAACTCACACCACTGTCACATCGATCTCCCAGAAGTCAGTGCAGCGTGTGCGGCCTGAGCTGGACGAGGTGACGCTCCGCTACGCTCAGGACCTGCTGGCCTGGGTGGAGGAGAACCAGCGGCGGATTGACACGGCTGAGTGGGGCATTGACCTGCCGACTGTGGAATCTCAGCTGGGCAGCCATCGAGGACTGCACCAGACCATCGAGGACTTCAGGGCCAAGATCGAGAGAGCACGAGCTGATGAGGTGTGCTAACTCCCTTAACACATTTCCAAAATTTGAAAATATATTTCACTTTTCCTTTACCATACCATACAAAGAAAAACTTTACGGCATTTATTAATTATAGTTCAACATTTACTAATGCATTAATAAAAAGTTGTGCTTATTAACATTGGCCAATGTACTGTGAGTTAGCAAGAACCAACAAAGAATTGCTTTATATGACATAGCTGAATAAATACTGTAATAAGAGTATTGTTTATTGTTTAAATAAGTATACTAGCTCACATTAACTAACGGGACATTATTGTAAAGTGTATATCTGTTTGTGATTGTCTTGCGTACCCCAGACCTTTGACTAAGCAGCACAGCACAGCTCAATCTGGCTTAAAAAATGAGGTATGCTAACTCTCTTTAGCACATTTCAAAAATATGAAAATACATTTCACTTTTCCTTTACCATATCATACAAAGAAATGCAAAAGTAGTTTATAGGAAATACTGTAGTGTTTTGAGCCTTATTATCGTAATCAGGTTGCTAAACCACCATCAACCATTTTCTCAGAGGAAGACATGCTGACAAAACATTGCTATCATTCTGATACAAGTTTGCACGTGCAAGCCGCACTCCTCCATTATATACGCACTTGTGCAAATTCTAGAAAAGACACTATATGTGAACGTCATTTGCGATCTCCAGCAGTTGATCTTCTTGCACAGACATGGTGGATTCAGTTGATTTGTTGACAAATGTGTTGCGGATCTGTTCCTTGGCAGTTCGTGGGTCGTTCACTGGGCCTTTTCCCCTTAGCAAAGAAGTTACCTAAAGATGGCTGCTTCTTACCTATTTTGCTGCTTGTGGGTTAAATTTGGGCGCTCAAGTGAGTGAGACGTAACCGAGAGAATATGGTCATTTTTCAAAATAAAAGATTTTTCAAAAAAAGATTGTTCAGGCTCAGATAACGGAACAGAAATAATTAATGATTTCTGTGCGGCCTGGTACCAATTGCCCGATAGTTGAGGACCACTGCCATAAAGCACATGAATAAATTCTGTTGTGGTCATTCTATGGTTGCTATGGTAACACAACAACTAGTTATATAAACAAATTACTCATTACTATAGTGTATATTATACTACAATACACCACAGGATTGAGATAAAGTTTTTTTTTTTACAAATTTAATTCAGTTTAAAGAAAGGATGTAAACTGTACTGCAAAACATGTGATTTCTGTTCCAGTTCTGCAAGAGAGAATTCCCATGTGTAAAAAAAATACTATAGTATTTTACAGTAGATTTACTACAGAACATCTCTTATGTAGAGTTTTGAACCTTACCATAGTAAATTGCAATGATGTGGCAATTGGCTGTAAATGTACCTACTTTAGCAAAGTAGCAGTTGTAGATGCGAATATTTGGGTCATGGTTCTGACGCGTTTGTTGTTTAAACGGGTCAATAAAAAAATGAAATGTCCATACCTTTGTAAATGAAGTTGGATATTCAAATCCATTTATTGTCCTTTCTCAAAATTAAAAGTAAACATCAAAACAAACTTAAACCTGTTCTCACAGCATGGCGGTCAAAAAGTTTGTTTGACCTTCTTCTACACAACTGTCACTCGTCGTGAGGAGAGCATAAATACCTTATACACCCTCTAATGGTGCAAAATAAAACTGCAACCCATAAATGGCTCCAACAGCAGTTAATATAGAAATATTGTGTACTTTAATAGAAGTAGTAGTTACTATAGTAAAATATTATTGTGACCAAATTAACAAGTGAATTACTTTAGTAAAATGTTTTTCAACTATATTATACTTTTATACATTAACAAAGTGTAAATACTATAATATGATACAGTGCTCTAGTTGTCTAGTTGATACAGTGCTCTACTGTCCTAACTTGTAAAGTATTATACAATGTTACCTACAGTTTATAAATTCACTAGTTAATTCTATAGTATGCCGCAGTAAGCTATAGCAAATACTGTAGTTTACTACAATATACCACAATTAACAACATTTTACTGTAGTAAATCCTAAAGTATACTATTGGTACTTTTTAATGGAAGTAGTTTAAAAGGATGCATACTATTTCATAAAGTGACACATTTCGTCTTTGTGTGTTTCAGAACCAGCTCTCTCCCGCTAGTAAAGGCACCTACAGGGAATATCTGGGCAAACTGGACCTGCAGTACACCAAACTGCTGGTTAGTGCTCTACCTGCTAACAAAACCTCTTCAGGACTGCTGTAGTGTTATATAATGTGTTTTTCTGCTCTTCAGAACACCTCCAAGTCTCGTCTGAGGAATCTGGATCAGCTGTATAACTTTGTCAACGCCGCCACCAAAGAACTGATGTGGCTCAATGACAAAGAGGAAGAGGAGGTCAACTACGACTGGAGTGAGCGCAACGCTAACATGGGCGCCAAGAAGGACAACTACTCAGTAAGTGTTGTTATAAAACTAGTTGTATGTTTGCACAAAGTGACCACACTTCGTTAATATTGTTAATTTATTCGTTTGCTGGAAATTAGAACTGAATTTAGAAATAGTTTTAAAAACAAATCTTTGAGTTTAAACTAAATTACAAAATGAAATATTTAGTTTAATGGATGTCTTCAGTAGGCACCGTTTCCTTAATCCACCAAAGTAAAGGAGTAAAGAGTAAAAGTAAAGTAAAGAGAAAATAAAGATGCAGAATGGAGGAGGCTCGTTCTTTATCTTCGTGCTGCAGATGGTTTGTTTAACTGTTTTCTTGCTAGTGTAGCGTTCAGTTTTTCCACTTACAAAGTCCGCCATGTAAATAGCAAATGTGCCGTGGCACAAGACATCGGACTCTTAAAGGGAATGTGAGATGATACTCGGATTGGTTTAATGCCTGTTATGCTCAAAACACATCCATAACTCATAAAGAGAATAAGCACAACCCTGTTAGACCATGTGCCAGGGCACATTTTGCTGTCCTTAAAATAGTAGAAAGAAAAAGTGGATTCGGACACGTCCTTAATGCTTTTGCGTCATGTGCTTTAGACTTTGCGCCTAGATCATTAAAATAGAGCCCAAGGCCTTTAAGCAGTTGATAAATAGGTAGATATATTTTACAGTCTGAAATCATCTTCATGGCTTCATTAATTCCTCAGGGACTGATGCGAGAACTGGAACTCAGAGAGAAGAAGGTCAATGACATCCAGGCTACAGGAGACAGACTCATTAAAGACGGACATCCAGGCAAGAAGACTGTGGAGGTAAGCAGATTTTAAATGAAAGGTCTTCTACTCAAGAAGCTGCATTTTTTTAATATCATTTTTTTTATCAAAAGTTATTCTTGCAAACTAATGTCCGACAGGATTATCAGCCTCCCAACATGAAACTGAGACTAAAGGGCTTTATTCTGAGAAAATTAATCCTTATTTAATGTTTTATCGCCCAGTCCTAATCATAAATGTCTTTACTATCACTGTTGATCAATTGTTGTGTTTTGAGTATTGAATGTGTGTGTTGTGTTGTTGGTCTGCAGGCATTCACCGCGGGTCTGCAGACTCAGTGGAGCTGGATCCTGCAGTTGTGTTGCTGCATTGAGACTCATCTCAAAGAAAACACTGCTTACTTTCAGGTGATACGCCATCAACCTTTCCACCCACCTATTTTTATACGCATTTTGGATTATTGTATAAACATGCTTGATGGAAATGCCAAGATGCCCAAACATTCCATCTTTGGATGGAAACGTGTAATCTACAGTAACTCTAATCTTCACCAGACATTGGTATTGATATAAACTGTATTAAATTGACATAAACGGTATTTTCAGCTTATCGTCTGCTCTCTTCAATAGTTCTTCGCTGATGTGAAAGAAGCGGACGAGAGGCTGAAGAAGATGCAGGATACGATGAAGAAGAAGTACATGTGCGACCGCAGCACCACCGCCACACGCCTAGAGGATCTGCTGCAGGACGCCGTCGTGAGTTCACACTAACAACTACACTAATGCTGGTGTCTGTTGTGCGTTTATCAGTATCGTTTACTGCACAGAGCTGAGGATCATGGACTGTGATGTTGTAGACTTGTACTGGAAGAAAAATTCAGATGCCAAAACTTGAACTCTGGTAGGTCAGCTTGGATTTCTGACAGCTTTACATTGTGACCTGCAGGAGGAAAGAGAGCAGGTAAACGAGTTCAAGAACGACATCGCCAACCTGAACAAGAGAGCCAAATCTGTGATCCAGCTGAAGCCACGAGACCCCACCTGCCCCTTCAGAGGAAAACTGCCCATCCAGGCCGTGTGCGACTTTAAGCAGATGGAGGTAAACACAATCACACACACATCGACAGCCAGTGAACGCTTACAAGTCAACATTGGCTCCAAAAATACATTGAGGACTGAATGTTCACTTGCCTCTATCTTCCCTGAAGTTTGGGTATAAACTTGGCTGTAGCCATTGACATCCAAAAATATGTACTTTAGAACCTTCCAAATTCCAACATTCTTCAAAATATCTTCTTTTGAGAAGTACTTTGATTTTTGGATGAACTGTTTATGTTTCCTCTCCAGATCACGATGCATAAGGGTGATGAGTGTGCGCTGATCAATAACTCTCAGCCGTCCCGGTGGAAGGTGCTGAACCGCTCAGGCGATGAGGCTGTCGTGCCTTCCATCTGCTTCCTGGTGCCACCTGTCAACAAGGAGGCCGTCGAGAGCGTCAGCGGGTAAACCAGATTAGCATTCTGTTGGTTGTATATATGTGGGTTTTTTGCATTATTCATGGGAGTTGCTATTTTTGTCAATAGTAGTTTTGCTAATTTTGTGTTAGCAAGTAATTAAAATAAATAAAAAATGAAAAGCAAAATTATCAGTTTAGAATATCTATATTTATTTATTATATACATTGAGTGCACAATATACAGTTTTCTGTGGACAAAAGTTGTATTTTTTACAGTTAGCATTTTATATTTTCTGAATTTTTTTTAATTTTGTGTAAGCAAGTAGTTAAAAACATTATTTAAATCTATTAAATATGTTATTTATTTATGACATTTGTACATCATGTACATTTTTTTATAGGCAGAAGTTTTTACCAGTATTTTGTCAAAATAACAGCTTAACAGTTTAACAGATTTCTTTTCTCAGAATTTTGTTTACTAATTTTGTGTAAGAAAAACGTTTAATTTAATAAATATGAAAAACAAAATACATTTTTTTTTATTGTTGATATAAATCCATTAAATGGGTCATTTGTTCATGGCATTTGTGAATAATATACAGTTTTGTTTAGTTTTTGTGGATAGAAGTTTTTTTTTTTTTTTTAACCAGTATTTTCCCAAATAAAAGCTTAACAATTTAATAGTTAATAGTTATCAAGTTTATTTTGAAAATTATTTAGTGATTCAAATAAATGTATTATTTAATTTTTGCATTCATGCATAATATACAATTTCCTTTGTTGACAAAAGTTGACAGTTTTTTTTACCAACCTAAAAAAACGTAACAATTTATTAGTTTATTAATTTATTATTAATTTATTTATTTTTTTATGTTACTAATTATGTGCATATATATATATATATATATATATATATATATATATATATATATATATATATATATATATATATATATATGCTTTATTGTTTATTAATTCAATTAAACTTACTATTCATTTATGGAATTTATGCCTAATATACAATTTAAAATTAAAAATTTCAAAAGGCAGCAGACTTATACAAGTCCAAAATAAATAGCCAAAATAAAAGCTTGAACGGTTACCATGTTATAAACTTGAGGGCTTGAACATTTGAAAGAATGTCTTTTTTAATAATAAAAATTCCAACCATTTTAAGGTCAATAATATTAGCCCCCTAAGGCAATATTTTTTACATTGTCTACAGAGAACAGTAACTTGCCTAATTACCCTAACCTGTCTAATTAACCTAGTTAATCCTTTAAATGTCACTTTAAGCTGAATACTAGTATCTTGAAAATATCTAGTCAAATATTATTTACTGTCATCATGGCAAAGATAAAATAAATCAGTTATTAGAAATGAGTTATTAAAACTATTATGTTTAGAAATGTGCTGAAAAATATTCTTTGCGTTAAACAGAAACTGGGGAAAAAAATAAAAACTATAATAAAATCAAAACAAATACCAGTAAGGATGCAGACGAGACCGGATGTCTCACACATTCACTGCTTCAAACATGATTCCTCTGTTTTGTCATTGGTCAGTAAGTGCTCATGTCGGTGTGTTTTCTCTCAGTCTGGAGGCTGGACATCAGCAGACGGTAATTCTGTGGCAGAAGCTTCACGCTGATCTCCGTGCTCTGCTGTCCTGGCAGTATCTGATGAAGGACATCCAGCTCATCCGCTCCTGGAACATCACCATGGTATGATCATCACATCATATACAGCTGATGTCAGAATTATTCGCCCTCCTGTGATTTTTTTTCTTGTCTTTTTTTAATATTTCCCTAATGATGTTAAACAGAGGAATTTTTCACAGTGTTTCCTATACTATTTTTTTATTCTGGAGAAAATCTTATTTGATTTATTTCAGCTAGAATAAAAGCAGTTTTTAATTTTTTTTAAACCATTTTATGGTCAATATTATAAGCCCCATTAAGGATTTTGTTTTCTGATTGGTTACAGAACAAACTATAGTTATACAATGATTTGCCTAATTAATCTAATTAACCTAGTTAATTAAGCCTTTAAATTGCATTTTAAACTGAACACTAGTATTTTGAAAATTATCAAGTAAAATCTTATGTAATTTGGTTGTCTGCACCAAACGCGACATGACAGAAACTTTTAATTACTGTCACATTCTTTTAAATATCACACCCAAAACTAAACGGTAAGGGTTGTAATCTAATTATTACATTTGTATCCTATTTAATATGATTATAGTACATAGGCTACTGATTGATTGATGTTGGTTTGCATTGAGTCAGTTTTGACTTTTTCAAACTGTGTTACAACACAGGCTCATTTTGAAAATGTAGCCCTATATACAGTTAAAGTCAGAATTATTAGCCCCTCTGAATTATTAGCGCCCCTGTTTATTTTTTTCCCCAATTTCTGTTCTGTTCTGGGAAGATTGTTTCAGCACATTTCTAAGCATAATATTTTTAAAAACTTATTTCTAATAACTGATTTATTTTATCTTTTCCATGATGACAGTAAATAATATTTTACTAGCTATTTTTCAAGACATTTCTATACAGCTTAAAGTGACATTTAAAGGCTTAACTAGGTTAATAAGGTGAACTAGACAGGTTATTGTAATTAGGCAAGTTATTGTACAACGATGGTTTGTTTTGTAGATTATCGAAAAAAATTAGCTTAAAAGGGCTAATAATTTTGTCCTTAAAATAGTGTTTAAAAAAATTAATAACTGCTTTTGTTCTTGCCCAAATAAAACAAATAAGACTTACCCCAGAAGAAAAAATATTATCATACATACTGTGAAAATTTCATTGCTCTGTTAAAAATCATTTGGGAAATATTTTAAAAAGAAAATAAAAATTAAAAGGGGCTAATAATTCTGACTTCAACTGTACATTTCTAGAGATCGCGAATTATGTAGCCAGAAGTACATATGGCTGCATTTCGGCTTTAAAACGAATGCTATGGGGCGGTATGACGCCGTTCCTTTTTGCGCTTACCAGCTGACTGCTTACCTCAATACAGACGGATTTCCCGCTGTTACTAGTTTGTCTAGTTAGCTCGCCATGTGCGTCAGCGGACTTGAGATGCAGAGAGAATTGGTGATTTCGAAAACATTATTGGTTGGGTTTAGGGAAGGAGGAGGGTGGGTCAGTCGATCGGTCATTCAGTCATTTAGTCAGTCAGTCAGTCGACAGCAACCTCTAGTGGATTTACACTAGAAGATCAGGCACGAATGGCACTCGCGAGAGAAATTTGAGATCTAAAAAGTGTACACAGCAACTTCTGGTGGATTTACCTGAGAACAGCAGGCACGAATGGCACTCGCGAGAGAAGTTTGAGATCTGAAAATGCATACACAGCGGCCTCTGGTGGATTTACGCAAGAAGAGCAGGCGTGAATGAAACTCGCGCAAGAAATTCGAGATCTGAAAAATCGTAAACAGCGGCCTTTAGTGGATTCACGAAAACAAAAACTGCAACAACAAAAACACATACCATACACATAGTATGCTTTCAGAATAAGCCTGGGTTGGCTAGTTACTTTAATTTGAAGATCTGAGGTAAATTATTTGCTTCTTTCAGTAGTATGGCAATAAAAATCATGTGAAATGGTGTTCAAACTCACATTAGTAGCATTTAATACTATATAAAGCACATAATCAGTACCTGAGGTGATCATTGTCATAGTAGTTTATGCTGTTGTTCAGCCGTGATGTCGCAGAAATAGAAACCGTTGTGCATCGCTGTGGCCGCAATTCGTTTTAACATGAAAAAGATACCACTATTATGTAGTAATTTATTACGATGCAATCATTTTAAAGCAGCTTAATAGGGATGAATAGGAATATAATGAGAGCATTATGCTACTCTAGTGCACTGCATTAAAATGTTCTTTAAATATTTTTAAGGCAGAACTTGTTATTGAAAGTTATTTGAGAAACCAAAAAAGGAATCACTGAATAACCTCTTTGAGATCCTTTTATATTTTGGAGCAAATAACTGTCCTCTGTACAGTAAACTATATGGATACTTACCTCTAACTCAGTAATGTGATTGTTAGGTCGCAGACTGGCTGAGTTATTTTTAGTAAACAGACAGTAAACAAGCAGAATTGCTTTATTGAATAAAAGGTCTTCAAGGGATTGCCTTGACAAATTGAAGTAAAGACAAGAAATGGCTGTATTAATGTCTTAGAATAGTTTTGCTACAGGTTGTCAATGCCAGACATATATAATTGTGCATATAGAATGTACAGTATTTCAAGCAATTTTGAATGAAGAATAACTAACTCAAGCCACTGTTATTATGCAGATTTCAATGCAGCTTAATAGGGATGAATATGAAAATAATGAACCAAGACTATACAGGTGTCATAAAGTACTGTGCAGTAAAGTTTAAAGTAAAAAAAATAATGTGTGTATTCATTTATTTATTAATTTAATTCATTTCTGTGAATACATGAACATCTATCTTTTATCACAATCTTAAACCTACCCATACCTTCAAAGCTATCCCTTACCATAAGCAACCCCTAAAGAAACACTCCACATTTTTTTAGAAATAGGCATACAGTATTTTTCTGCTCCCCTAAAGATAAACAATTATCATTTCGGAATCTATTCAGCTGATCTACAGGTCTGGCGTGAGCCCTTTTAGCTTAGCTTAGCATAGATCATGGAATTGGATTAGACCATTAGCATCTCGCTCAAAAAATAAAAATTAAATAGTTTAGAGAATATTCATATTCTTCTGTTGTTACGTTGTGTGCTAAGACTGAAAAATAAATAATATTATGCAGCACTGTTACCTAACTAGGGACTATTTTCAGGCTCTGCGTAATATTGTGCTGCTGCAGTCATGGTACGGCAGTAAAGCTCCTTGATTATTACACCAAAATGAAAGTATAGTTCAGGAACTTTTAATTGGTATTAGTACAAGATATACAGAACTACAGAAGAGTCAAGCTTTAAATATGAAAATTATCTAATCTCTTAGAATTTCTGAGCAAGATGCTAATGGTCTAATCCGATTAAATGATCTATGCTAAGCTAAGCTAAAAGTGATCAAGCCAGACTCGCCTGAATGAAACTCAACTCTACAACTCTATAGGAGTTTGTTTACTTAAACCGGGGTGTCCAAACTCGGTCCTGGAGGGTTCGAGTTTGGACACCCCTGCTTTAAACCTACCACTAAATCTATCCCTAATTTTAACCAAAGCTTTTTAGAAACAAAAGTCTGCAGTACATCATGCGATACAGTACATCTAAAAGCTGCTCTATGTTGATTGAGCTTAGGTGAGGGTTCATAAGTTCACATATTGAGTTTAATCTATGCATTTTGTTCAGTTCAAGACGATGAAGCCAGACGAGTACCGGCTGATCCTGAGGAACCTGCAGCTCCACTATCAGGACTTTCTCAAAGACAGAGAAGAGTCAAAGCTCTTCAATTCCAGTGACAACATGCAGATCGAGAGGGACTATAAGGAGACCACACAGCATTTTGACAACCTTTTGCGCACGCTGGAGAAAGGTACACACTAGTCACCACACACACAGAGAGATTTGTTCATATATCCATATGGGGACTTACACTGATGTACCGGGCATCCAGAAAGTATTCATAGCGTTTCACTTTTTCCACATTGTTTTATGTTACAGCCTTATTCTAAAATGGATTAAATAATGACAATGTGAAAAAAGTTTTTGAAATTGTTGCTAATTTATTAAAAATAAAAACCTTAGAAATCACATGCACATCAGTATTCACTGCCTTTGCTGTAAAGCTCTAGATTGAGCTCAGGTACATTCTGTTTTCACTGTTCATTCTTGATATGTTTTAGCAGCTTAATTGGAGATCACCTGTGGTAAATTCAGTTGATTGGACATGAATTGAAAAGGCATACACCTGTCTATATAAGGGCCCAGGGTTGACAGTGCATGTCAAAGCACAAACCAAGCATGAAGACAAAGGAATTGTCTGTAGACCTCCGAGACAGGATTGTCTCGAGACACAAGGCTGGGGAAGCAGAAACATTTCTGCTGTTCTGAAAGTTCTAATGAGCACGGTGGCAAGATGTTTGGACCACTGGGACTCTTCCTAGAGCTGGCCGGCCATCTAAGCTGAGTGATCGGGGGAGAAGGGCCTTAGTCAGGGAGGTGATCAATAACCTGATGGTCACTCTATCTGAGCTCCAGCGTTCTTCTATGGAGAGAGAAGAACTTTACAGAAGAACAACCATCTGTGCAGCAATCCACCAATCAGGCCTGTCTGGTAGAGCGGCCAGACGGAAGCCAATCCCCACCTGGAATTTGCCAAAAGGCATCTGAAGGACTCTCAGACCATAAGAAACTAAATTCTCTGCTCTGATGAGACTAAAATTTAACTCTTTTGGAGTAAATGCCAGGCGTTACATTTGGAGAAAACCAGGCACCCGCTCATTACCAGGCTAATACCATCCCTACAGTGAAGCATGGTGGTGGCAGCATTATGCTGTGGGGATGTTTTTCAGCAGCAGGAACTGAAAGAATAGTCAGGATAGAGGGAAAGATGAATGCAGCAATGTACAGAGACATCCTGAATGAAAACCTGCTTCAGAGTGCTCTTGACCTCAGACTGGGGAGACGGTTCATCTCAGACTGGGGAGGCGGTGTGCTTTGGGACAATGACCCAAAGCACACCGCCAAAATATCATGTGGCTTCACAACAACTCGGTGAATGGCCCAGCCAGAGCCCAGACCTAAGTTCACTGAACATTTCTGGAGAGATCTGAAAATGGCAGTACACCGTTGCTTCCCATCCAACCTGATAGAGCTTGAGAGGTACAGCAAAAAGGAATGGGCGAAAATTCCCAAAGACAGGTGTGCCAAGCTTGTGGCATCATATTCAAAAAGACTTGAGGATGTAATCGCTGCCAAAGGTGCATCAACAAAGTATTGAGCAAAGGCTGTGAATACTGATCTTCCTGTGATTTTTCAGGTTTTTTATTTTTAATAAATTTGCAAAAATTAAAAAAAAAAAAATTTTTTTCAAATTGTCATTAGGGGCTATTGTGTGTAGAATTTGGAGGAAATAAATGACTTTTATTCATTTTGGAATAAGGCTGTAACATAAAAAATGTGGGAAAAGTGAAGCGCTATCAATACTTTCCGGATGCACTGTAAATGATGTTTCTACTATAAAAACTGTATATTCTGCCCCTCTACCCCATGAGTATAGTTCATATTTTAGTTTTCTAAAATAAGCTTGGTGGGGTAACTGTTGAATTCACATTACAGGAGCCGCTGTCAGAGCACAGGGTGAGTCTGGATGAGATTAGTCCATGAATGAGCTGCTTTATTTATGTTTTGTCAGCATTTGTGCTTTGGATAGTCGTGCATCTCTACAGAGTGTGCATGTGTTGAGGGGGAAAAACATCCTGCAAATGATATGTTTCTGAGTCGAATTCATTCAGATTTGGGGTCATATTATAAAACATATCCAAATCCATTGAAAAAAATGTATTGACATTGTCCAAGATGTCCCCTTAAGATGTCTGCATCAATGCAAATGTATTATAAAGGATTTTTGCATACACAGGGAGCATGTTAAATGCAAGCAAAGTGTGTAGTTTAATGTTTCAAAAACATGTTTCTATTTGATAAATAATCTCCAAGATCATTCAGTGTAACAGATATAATTTATGTTGAAAATGACACACTTATCGTGACAAAAATTAAAGAATAAGTCATCATAGTAAACTGGATCATTTTGATGTGATTAAACACATTTTGCTGACAAATGGGTACATAGTTTTTGAAGTACAGTGGCAAGAGGTAAAGATTTTGAATGACAAATGATTTTGTATTATATTTTGTATTCATATTTTCTATATTTAGTATTTTGGAGCCGATATGTGAGTATTTATTAGAATGTTTTAATCTTTCATGAAATGATTCTGCTTTAAATTTGCCTGACATTACTTCTTTGACATAGAAACTATTGTTACACTGAATGACTTTATTTTTTAAGCCCTGAAATAGGCTTGAATTCTTCATGCACAGTATTGTTTTAATTTATTTATTTTTTGGTATGAAAAATGAGCCACTAACACAGACTGAATGTGTGTGAAGTGACATGAATGTTGGCTGCAGCACACCAATGTTTCTTTAGTGTCACAGAGATATTGTTGATGGGTTTTAGTTTTGCATATAATTTGCAACACGGGCTCATTGTAAAAACGTACCCCTGTATACATTTCTGGAGAGTGAAAATTATGTAACCAGAGGTATGTATGGCTGCATTGCGTCTTTAAAATGAATGCTATGAGGTGGTATGGCGACGGCTTTTGATTCTTTTCGTGCTACTAGCTGACCGCTTACCTGTGTATGGACGGCTTTTTTCACTGTTATCAGTTTGCCCAGTAGCTCGCCGCATATGTTGGCGGACTTAAGACGCAGAGAGGAGTTGACTGAAATGGTCAAAGAACGGTTCCATAGAGTAGGTAAAACAAAAACAAAAGGCAAATAAATAAATAAATAAATAAAATAAACAAGCAAATAACAGGTTGAGAATGTGGTCAAATCTGAAAATGTGGTAAAAATTTGGCGCCACGAGGGCTTTTCTTTTTCTGGATTGTTTTTGAAAACTGTTGGTTGAGTTTAGCAAAGGGGGTGGGTGGGTCAATCAGTGCTTTTGAAAACAGGGCTTAGGGAAAAAGGTGGGTGGGGATATATCGGTCAGTCAGTCAGTAAGTTGACAGTGACCTCTGGTGGATTTATGCAAGAACAGCAGGCGCGAATGGTACTTCCAAGAGAAATTTGAGATCTCGAAAAGCATACACAGCGTCCTCTGGTGGACGTAGCTCCTGGGACATATTTGGCACTCTCCAGAAATGTATACAAGGATATGTATCAATACTGAGCCTGTGTTGCAAGAAATGTTTGCAGTTTTCATTCTATTTTTGGCATTTTTTGTGGCATTTTATATTTATGATATTTGATGTCTCGTTTTTGTTTTACTCAATTTATTACATCAAGTTAAAGATAAAATGACAAATAACAAAAAAAAAATCAATTTGCTGTATTAAACCTGATCTTATATGTAAATGAAACAATTTTACATTTTGTTATTTTAGTGGCAAATTCAGACAATTTATGAACAGGTACGACTTTAAAAAGGAGGCATGGCACCAAACCCCACTCCTAAACTCAACCGTAACTAGGGGATGAGCAAACTGTGGTAAAATTAACAAATGAGATGGTACAAATTTATATGAATTAGCCCCTAAATCTAAAAGTTCCGAATTGGTGTGATATAGCAATGGATTTTTTTTATATATGAATTATTAGCCCCCGTGTATATTACAGAAAAAATATTTTTTCAACACATTTCTGAACATAATAGTTTTAATAGCTAATTTCTAATAATTTCTTTTATCTTTGCTGCGATGACAGTACATAATATTTTACTAGATGTTTTTTCAATATACTAGTATTCAGCCTAAAGTGACATTTTAAGGATTTACTTGGTTAATTAGCCATTGTTCTGTAAACAATCGGGAAAAAAAAAATTGCTTAATGGGGCTAATTTTATAGACCATAAAATGCTTTTAAAAAATTAAAAAGTGCTTTTATTCCAGCCGAAATAAATCAAATAATACTTTCTCCAGAAGAAAAAAATATTACAGTAAGTACTGTGATAAATTTCTTGCTTTGTTAAACATCATTTTTGAAATATTTGAAAAAAAAAAAAAAATTCACAGAAGGGCGAATAATTTTGACTTTAACTGTATTTTATTTTAAGTGACAAAAATTGTAGTTTAAATTGTAAAAAGTTGTAGTTTAAGTTCTCCGCAGTGCGCATATGATGAGAGAGATGAAGTGTTGATTTTGCTTTAGTTTTGATGGAAAATAATCCTAACAGAGGTTTTCTCTTCACAGGTGAGCAGGATGAATCTGTGTGCAAGTCGTACATCACCCAAATCAAAAACCTGCGTCTGCAGATCGAGGACTGTGAGTCTCGAACGGTGGCTCGTATCCGACAGCCTGTGGATAAAGATCCGCTCAGAGACTGCATTCAGAAAACTGCTGACCAGAAGGTACGACAGAAACATGCACTCCTAATAATAATATTAACAATACAATTGTTTTTTAATTTCATGTATACAATTAGTTCCCAGAGATGTGTTGCGGCTGGAAGGGTATCTGCTGTGTAAAGCATATGCTGAATAAGTTGCCGGTTTATTCCACTGTGGCGACCCCAGATTAATAAAGGGACTAAGCCGATAAGAAATGAATGAATGAATAAATGTATACAAGTTTGATTTGACAATTAAAAAAATTAGACTGCTTATTTGTGATATTTGGCTTCTGTGTGTCTCTCCAACAGAAAGTGCACGTGGAGTTGGACGGCATCAAGAAGAACCTGGATAAAGTGTCTGAGAAAGCAGAGGAGGTGTTGTCCTCCGCGGATCAGTCCAGTGCTCCAGTCCTGCGCTCAGCGCTGGACATCACCCTGCAGAAGATGGATCAAACCTACAACCTGTCCTCCATCTACCTGGAGAAGTACGAATGGCTCTCATTTCACACTGTTCACAGAACCAGTGACATTTATAACCACATCTTAGGATAGTGGGGATTGTGAGTCACTGGCATTGTTCTTTTGGGGGTAGTGGACTAAAAAGTTTGTAAACCTCTGCTCTAATTAATTAAAAGTCCTTAATGATGTATAAGATGAAACAACTTCTTACTCTGCAGGCTGAAGACCATAGAGGTGGTGATCCGCAACACACAAGGGGCAGAAGATGTTGTGAAGAAATATGAGAATCGCCTGCGTGAGGTTCATACAGTTCCTACAAACGTGCAGGAGGTGGAGAACTACTGCTCAGAGCTCAAGGTAACGGGGGGGGGTAATACATTTACATTTAGTCATTTAGCAGACGCTTCTGTCCAAAGCAACTTACAATTGAGGAGGTATTCAGCGATTCAACAAGAAGAGGCAATACACACAACAAGTGCTAAATATTTAAAGTAACTTGTTTGTGTTCAGAGATTTTAGTGCTAGAGTAGGAGTTTTTTTTTTTTTGAGAGAGAGGAGAGACAATGCTTCTTATCGGTGGTTTTGGTATAATTCACTGAGGTTCAGGTGTTCTCTGAAGAGGTTTTTAATTGTCATTTGAAGGATACCTGCGTATCCACAATCTGAGTGGGGATGGGAAGATCATTCCACCAGCGTGGAACAGTGATTGCAAAGGTTTTGGAAAGTGTCTTACTGCCTCTGTGTGATGGCATCACAAGCCGGTTCTCATACTCTGATGTAGACCTTTATGAGCAGGTAAGTGGGTGCAGTGCCAGTGGCTGTCCTGTAAGCAAGCAAACTTAAGTGATTTTAACCTGATTCGAGCTTCAAACGGTAACCAACGCTGAGAGAGTGTTACATGGGCTCTCTTTGGCTCATTAAAGACTAGACGAGCTGCAGTGTTCTGGATCCTCTGACAAGAGCTTAGACTAAAGGTTGAGCAATGTGATCTGTTCAACTTTTAGTCCAAGCTCTTGTCATTTCAAGATTGGACTACTGCAATGCTCCACAAGCTGGTCTCCCATCCCGCTCTCTTAAGTCCCTACAGATTATTCAGAACGCTACAGCTCATCTGATCTTCAATAAGCCAAAGAGAGCCCGTGTTACACCTCTTTTTATCTCTCTGCATTGGTTACCGAGGCTCGAATCAAGTTTGATGCTTGCTTACAGGACAGCCACTGACACTGTACCCTCTTACCTCCACCTGCTCCTGAAGGTCTACATCCGCTCCAGGAGCCTCGTACAGAGGCTAAAAGTCAATTTCCAAAACCTTTTCATTTAATGTTCCTCGCTGGTGGAATGATCTTACAATTCCCACTCGGACTGGGGATTCACAGATATCCTTCAAACGACATCTAAAAACCCATCTCTTCTCAAAACCCCGGTAAATAGTCCTTGTATTCAACATTCAAAATTGAAACTTTATGTCAGCATTTAAACAGCAACTGGGAAATCAGACTTTACAGGAGGGATGATGTTTTTTTCTTCAGCCGTATATATATTGTGTGATGTAGTTATTAGAGGTGTGAACCTACGCTGGTCTCACAGTTCGGTTCGGTTATGATTATCATACCATTGATTTGGTTCAATTCGATATCTTGGTGCATTGACGATGCTTTCCATACACGATTTGATTTTTTCTTCACAACACAATTTGTTTTTTATTAAAATCTAGAAATATATTAATATTATATATAATTTGTAATACAATTTTGTCCTTTAATACAAGCAGTAAGATTTATGAACTGTACCCTAAATTTGACCTGCTCATAGAAAACACTCTTTCTGAATGTATCAAACAAAACTCCAATACATGCACAGAAGACAACATGAGCATTTATAGCAATTAAACTTATGTATATTTTACCCCGCTTGCTTTTGGAGCGCTGTCAAGCGAGTTCTTACCCCCCTTTGATTGGTCATTGTGTTCACCCACTCAACAGAAAGGGCTGCGATTAGCTTTAGAAATGAAAGCACTGTTCACCAATGAAAGAAGTGGGAAGAACAGACGCAGTTACAGTCTATATGTGCATAATACATGGTTATCACAGGGAATCCATACAAGACGCAGTGGAGAAAACTCGCACCACAGGCACACTCATGTCTGGATCCACGAGTATCACTTTAACAGCCACGAAGAGAAGAAACGTTACCTCACAAACACGCCAGCGGGTCAAATATCCAAAGTGAGAGAGAGAGAGAGGCAGAGATGGAGTTTTACAGCATTTCTCCCTAGTAGTGAAATAGCGGCTCGTGTGCTGTGTCTTCGTCAGTGTCAATGAAAGACTTTCCAGCAAACTCACAAGCAGTTGAAATGTGCATAATTATACACCTTGTAAGTAGTAGGAGTGTTTTATTTAGTCGCCCTCGCCTCCTTTGCCATAGTATTCTACTGCGACATCGCACATAGGAGATAAATAATGTCAGTACGTAATAACCGGTTATGATCTATTACTGAACGATATCGAATTGTCCCCGTCTGCATCACGGTGCAACAAAGAAACAATTCATTTTGACACCCCTAGATTTATATGTGGTGATGAAGTCTGCTTGTTGGTGGTGTGTGTTCAGACGATGCGTGTGGACGCAGAGAAGCAGCGGCCGGTGTTTGACGATATGGAGGGTGAGCTGGCCAAGGCCTCAGCGGTCAGCCAGCGGATGGTCCAGATCCACATGGAGCGGGACGCTGAGCTGGAGCACTACAGACAGATGCTGGGCAGCCTGCAGGATCGCTGGCGGGCCGTCTTCGCCCAGATGGACCTGCGGCAGCGGGAGCTCGAGCAGCTCGGCCGGCAGCTGGGCTACTACAGGGAAAGCTACGACTGGCTCATCCGCTGGATCGCAGATGCTAAACAGCGGCAGGAGAAGATCCAGGCTGTGCCTATTATAGACAGCAAGACCCTCAAAGAACAGCTGGCACAGGAGAAGGTACTGAAGAGCTTTCCTTTCCCTCAAGCTGCTCTCACATTAAAATACTGTAGTAGCATAGCAATCATTACAGCGTTTTTGAAGCATTCAATACTCTATTACAAGATGAAACATATAGTATTTACAACTCTTTGTTAATGAATTCTACAGCATACAGTATTGTTAACTACTTGATAAACTGTAATAAGTATATGCTATAATTTTCTCTTACAGAAACTTCTGGAAGAAATTGAGAAAAACAAAGAGAAAGTTGACGAGTGTCAGAAATATGCCAAAAACTACATCGATACCATTAAGGTAAGAGACAGCTGCAGAGACATTATGTACAGTTTATGACACAATCAAGAACTGCGGCTGCATTTGAAGCTTTATCTATTATTTTCCTTAAACTAGAATGACACAACAAATTTACGGTAGATTTACAGTAGGCTAAATCCATTAGGGTGGGCGAGGCAGTGGCCCAGTTGGTAGTGCTGTCGCCTCACAGCAAGAAGATCGCTGGGTCGCTGGTTCGATCCTCGGCTCACTTGGCGTTTCTGTGTGGAGTTTGCATGTTCTCCCTGCCTTCGCGTGGGTTTCCTCCGGGTGCTCCAGTTTCCCCCACAGTCCAAAGACATGCGGTACAGGTGAATTGAGTTGGCTAAATTGTCCGTAGTGTATGAGTGTGTGTTTGAATGTGTGTGTGGATGTTTCCCAGAGATGGGTTGCGGCTGGAAGGGCATCCGCTGCGTAAAAACTTGCTGGATAAGTTGGCGGTTCATTCCGCTGTGGCGACCAGGGATTAATAAAGGGACTAAGCCGGCAAGAAAATGAATGAATGAATGAATAAATCCATTATTAATGTAAATTAATTCAAAATGTTTAAGGGTGCTTTCGCATCTAGACCTTTGTTTCGGAACCTGGCACATTTCCCCAGTAATCGTGGTTCGTTTGGCATATGGAAATCCAGCAATCTTCCTGAGATCTGCGGAAAAACAATCAGTCCAAGACCGCCTGAATAAGGTGGTCTCAGCTCGATTGAAGCGAACTCTGGAGCGGATCGATTGTAATGAGAAAGCAATACGATACAATGAATATATGGTTATATGAAGAGAGAATTCTGAGTAGGGCGGGATGTCATCTCCACCACTAAATGTGCGTTTCAGAACAAATACGAAAGGGAAAGCATCCTGAACTATTAACGAGAGCTGTTAATCCGTTTGGAAAATTGACCTAACTGCAGTCTTGGTTTATCTGTTATTTCTCTCTTTAACGTAACGCGTATATATAGTTCTAGCCAACGACTATGGATGAGAAAGTCTTGCCTCTGATTTATATTTGGTAACGATGTCTGGGTGTCACCATTCAAAGTTAAAGTGCAGCTTTTTGCTTATAATGTCTTATCGCTCTTCATCATAAATTAAAATAAGGACGCATGACAGCTGAGCGGGACTCTGAAAAATAAACTGTGGAACTCTGACTAATGTGACGAGAGTTTACTCACACGTGACTTGTTTTAGCTATTTTGGTCCTTTTAGAAACTTTGCCGTGTGAACGCAAACCGCAAGTGCAACATTGTAACAATTTAAATCCCTTTTTCAGAACAAAACAATCGATCTTCATGTGTGAAAGCACTTTAAATTTGATGGGAAACATTTGATTCAGTACTAATTGTTGTTTAACTTATTGTTAAACTTTTGAAACCACTAACATTTTCCACCATTCTGTGCTTTAGCTCAAGATGCTAACATCAACTAGACAACACATGGTGTGTCTAATACTCAGTGTTATGTATTTTTAATCATATTATTGATTTTAGAAAGTGAATGTGAAATTCACTGAAATATCACAGTAACAGAGTTGACAAATAATTTATCTTCTCTTGGTGAATCCTAAACATTTTGTAAAAATTACTGAGAGAAGAATATTGACATGCCAAAAAAACAGATAACTTGGCATAATTTGTGTTGTTATTCAACACTGTTCATTAAAATGCTTGTTTTTATTTAGAAGACGCAAAATCTACCTCCAAGTCTGTAAATTTGTAATTGTTTACAATTTGTTTTTTGTGGTGTTACGTTTTTTGTTTCCTCCAGGACTATGAACTCCAATTAGTTGCCTACAAAGCTCAAGTCGAACCTCTGACTTCTCCTTTGAAGAAAACCAAGATGGAGTCTGCTTCTGATAACATCATTCAAGAGGTTAGAGAAGGCTAATTTACATTAGCAGTTTTTGAAATCTCTTGTTTGCATAGATTAATGTGGTTTTATATCTTGTATAACAGTACATCCAACCAACTGATTTCATCTGAATGTTTTTTCACCATAGTATGTAACTCTGAGAACCCGCTATAGTGAACTGATGACTCTGACCAGTCAGTACATCAAGTTCATCACGGACACGCAGCGCCGCCTGGAGGACGAGGAGGTGCGTGACACCAGGGGTCCCAGTTCATACCAGACTAACTCAACACACTAACATTAACCAACCCAACCAACCACACTCATCAGAAACAAATCATCTAGATATACTTAATGTATGGGTGACTCTACTGTATATTTATTCTGTGCCATTTTGTAAACAAATACCTGCAAATGCAGTCTTTTCCAAATTATGTTTGGCTTAAAAACATTTAGAGTCTAAAGCACATGGCGCAAATACATTAAATGGCGCGTCCAAATCCACTTTTGCTATTTTAGGAATAGAGAAATACAGTCTGCACTCTGGCGCATGGTCTAAAAGGGTTGTGCAAATTCTCTTAATGAGTTATGGGTGTGTTTTGAACATAACGTTTAGAACCAATCAAAGTCTCATCTCCCGTTCCCTTTAAGAGTCAGTTGCGTCATGCCATGGGGCATTCGCTATTTACATGGCGAATTTTGTAAGTGGATAAACTGAACTATTCACTAGCAAGAAAACAGTTTAACAGACCATCTGCAGCGAGAGGATAAAGAACGAGCCTCCTCCAATCGGCCTTTTTGCTTTCTCTTTACTTTTACTCTTTAGTCCTTTACTTTCATGGATAGGGAAATGGTGGAAACTCTCCACTGAAGACATCCATTAGCCTATATATTTAATTTCGTTTGTTGTGCAAAGATTTGTTTCAAAACTATTTCTAAAATCAGTTCTAATTTCCAGCAAAACCAATAAATGAACAATAATAATGAAGTGTTGTCAAAAAGTTAGAGTTAAAGAGTTATATCCAAACACACGTCCTATTCTTATGTCCCATATGGTGATGAATACGTCTCCAAAACCCGACACGTGGACAAATCTAAACTTAAAACTCTGAAAATAGCAACAAATCGTGCCATACACATCTTGTGCCTTATTGCGCCAGGAGTATGAGAGGGCCCTAAGTGTTAATAATCAACTTTAACTATACCATGTTAATTTTTTTCAAAAAGTAGAATAGCTCATATTGATTAATACGTGGATAAATCTCCGATACTTATTTCAGAATATACCAGCAGAAAATGCCATTCCATTATCACACAGCATCTGATACACACTAAAGAAAGCAAGTTGTATGAGGCCCTACTTTTTCCTATATACTTCTCTCTTTTTTCACAACTGAATGTCTTTCAAACCCTAACCTTTGATTTCTTTACCTCTCTTAACTGCTTGCCAGTGCTTTGTCTTGATGATTGCTTGATCTTTTTTGGGCTCTAAAGAGGTAAAACTTTTCACTATGCTCTAGCAATTCCATATCCATTTTCCATTATCCCTATTTATAAATATTCTGCATTTCCTTACATCAAGATTATATGATTTAGCCTTTTGTTTGTAATGTTATTGTGCTTTTGTTGTGAATATCTGATTCTCATAGCTTATAACAATTGATCGCTGTAAATTTAATTGATTTAACTGGTCTTCGTACAGTAAATGTATGCAAGTGGTAGATTTAATTTATTTTTATGTCTTTCCTTTAAACTATAATTTAATATTAAACAGTGTGTTGTACAGTATGAATAACATTCTTTGAGAATCAGATTCCTGATATTCGTTTTTTATATTTCAATGCAATAAAAACCTGCATCTGCTTGTCTGCTTAAATGTCTACTCTTAACAGCTATTGCTTACTTTCCATAGCTGTGAAATACATGCTTTAGTTTTTTCTGTTCTTCTCATTTTCCCCCTCTCCTAACAGCGATATATCTTTAGAAAAACTGGTGTTGTTGTCACACTTAAAAGTTTGTATTGATTGTGTGTTCGCTTTTCATACAGTCATGTAGGTCATAGCCACAACATATCGATTATAACATACTATTAGACATTTTTAAAAACTGTTTGTTTAACGGGAATGCAGTAACTGGTCTTTAGAGTGCCAGCTTTTGGGAACTTCTACCTTGCATGTAGTGAGAATGTAGTGTTTTGAAGCAATGTCTTGTGTCACCATACATTAATTATATCATGTTACCATAACCCAAATAATTGCATATGTCAGTATTTTTTTTACTATTAATTTACCTTAACCCATTTGTTATGTTTGCATCATAATCTTTGTGCTTAACAATAACCATAACACTAAAAGAAATAGTTCACTGTAAAATGAAAAGTCATCTCATCATTTGCTTATCCTTATGTTTTTCCAAACCCCAAATGTTTTTCTTTCTTCCATGGAGCACAAATGTAGCTTGACGTCTTGTTTTCATTTAGTGGTATTATGAAGATGTGACAAGATCTTCTTATAAAAAGAACCTGTTGTGCTCCATGGAAAAGGGAAATAACAGAGTATTCATATAATGCAAAGGCATCAAGGTTTGGACTGACAGTGAGCAAATAATGGCAACCTTTTCATCTTTAAGTAAACTATTCCTTAACACCCCGTCATGCTTGATCTTAATCATAATTTTCTTTACCATTTACTTCCACTAATACAGAAAGCTGCTGAGAAACTAAAAGCTGAAGAGAGGAAAAAAATGGCTGAGATGCAGGCAGAGTTAGACAAACAGAAGCAGCTAGCTGAAGCTCATGCCAAGGCCATTGCCAAAGCGGAGAAAGAGGCACAAGAGCTCAAGCTCATGATGCAGGAGGAGGTTAGCAAGCGAGAGTTTGTTGCAGTGGATGCTGAAAGGCAAAAGCAGAACATCCAGCTGGAGCTACATGAGCTCAAAAACCTCTCTGAGCAACAAATAAAATCAAAGAGTCAGCAAGTGGAAGAGGCTCTGCAAAGTCGTGTCAAAATAGAGGAGGAGATTCGCATCATAAGACTTCAGTTGGAAACTACGATGAAGCAGAAATCCACTGCACAGGAGGAGCTAATGCAGCTTAGAAGCAAAGCTGCTGAGGCGGAGAGACTTCGCAAAGCCGCTCAGGAGGAAGCCGAGAAACTTCGCAAGCAAGTTAATGAGGAGACCCAGAAGAAGCGGATAGCAGAGGAAGAGTTAAAACTGAAGTCTGAAGCAGAGAAAGAGGCTGCCAGGCAGAAGCAAAAAGCTCTGGATGATCTTGATAAGCTCAAGATGGAGGTGGATGAGGCCGAGAGACACATGAAGCAGGCCGAGATTGAGAAAGAGCGACAAATCAAACTCGCTCAAGATGCTGCTCAGAAAAGTGCATCGGCTGAGCTTCAGAGCAAGCGCATGTCCTTTGTCGAAAAGACATCTAAACTAGAAGAGTCACTTAGAGAGAAGCATGGGACTGTCATTCAACTGCAGGAGGAAGCAGAACGCCTCAAAAAGCAGCAGGAGGAGGCAGACAAGGCAAGGGAGGATGCTGAGAAAGAGCTTGAAAAATGGAGACAAAAAGCCAATGAGGCTCTTCGACTAAGGCTCCAGGCAGAGGAAGAAGCCCACAAAAAGACTCTTGCCCAGGAAGATGCGGAAAAACAGAAAGATGAGGCTGAGCGTGAGGCTAAAAAACGGGCCAAAGCTGAAGAGTCTGCCCTGAAACAGAAAGACATGGCTGAGCAAGAGCTTGAGCGGCAGAGGAAGCTGGCAGAAAGCACAGCACAGCAGAAGCTCTCTGCCGAACATGAGCTAATTCGCTTGAGGGCTGATTTTGATCATGCTGAGCAGCAGAGATCTCTGCTTGAAGATGAACTATACCGTCTTAAGAGTGAGGTCAGTGCTGCAGAGCAGCAGCGCAAGCAGCTTGAAGATGAGCTTTCCAAAGTTAGAAGTGAAATGGAAGTGCTTTTGCAGCTTAAGTCTAAAGCTGAAAAAGATAGCATGTCTACCACTGAAAAGAGCAAACAGCTCTTGGAAGCTGAAGCTGGTAAACTGAGGGATCTTGCAGATGAAGCAGCCAAGCTTCGTGCCATTGCTGAAGAGGCAAAAAGGCAGAGGCAGGTGGCTGAGGAGGAAGCTGCACGACAGAGAGCAGAAGCAGAAAGAATTCTCAAGGAGAAACTCGCTGCCATTAATGAAGCTACTCGCTTGAAAACTGAGGCAGAGATAGCCCTTAAAGAAAAGGAGGCCGAAAACGAACGTCTGCGAAGGAAAGCTGATGATGAGGCTTACCAGAGAAAGGCTCTTGAAGATCAGGCAAGCCAGCACAAGCAAGACATTGAGCAAAAGATCAATCAGCTCAAGAAATCCTCCGAAATGGAATTAGACAGGCAGAAAACAATTGTGGATGAAACTCTTAAACAGAAAAGAATAGTTGAAGAGGAGATTCGCATCTTGAAACTTAACTTTGAGAAGGCTTCATCTGGCAAGCTTGATTTGGAGCTTGAACTGAATAAACTGAAGAATATTGCAGATGAAACGCAACAAAGCAAACTGCGAGCAGAAGAAGAAGCTGAGAAACTACGTAAGCTTGCCCTCGAGGAGGAAAACAAAAGAAGGGAGGCTGAAGAAAAACTGAAAAAAATTACTGCTGCAGAACAGGAGGCAGCTCGACAGCGCCAAGCTGCCCAAGACGAAGTAGAGCGCCTCAAGAAGAAAGCTGATGAGGCTAGAAAGCAAAAAGAAGATGCTGATAAAGAAGCGGAGAGGCAAATATATGCTGCCAAAGAGGCTGCAGAGAAAGCAATTACAGCTGAACAGCAAGTCCAGAGTGTTCTTGTTCAGCAGAAGGAGGACAGCCTGGTACAGAAAAAGCTCAAAGAGGAGTTTGAGAAAGCCAAAAGGCTTGCCCAAGAGGCAGAAAAAGCCAAAGAAAAAGCAGAGAAAGAGGCTGCCCTCCTCCGTCAACAAGCAGAAGATGCAGAGCGTCAGCGCCAGACTGCTGAAGTTGAGGCAACAAACCAGGCTAAAGCCCAAGAGGAGGCAGAGAGACTCCGAAAGGACGCAGAGCTAGAGGCAGAAAAGCGAGCCCAAGCTGAGGCAGCAGCACTGAAACAAAAACAGATTGCTGATGAAGAAATGGCTAGGCACAAGAAGCATGCAGAGCAGACACTTAAGCAGAAGTCTCAGGTGGAGCAAGAGCTTGCTAAAGTTAAACTGCGGTTAGATGAGACTGATAAACAGAAGAGTGTTCTAGATGAAGAGCTTCATCGACTGAAGGATGAGGTCGGTGACGCTGTTAAACAGAAAGCCCAGGTAGAGGAGGAACTATTCAAAGTCAGGATTCAAATGGAGGAGCTCATCAAGCTCAAGCTCAGAATTGAGCAAGAGAATCAGCGTCTCATCCAGAAGGACAAAGATAATACTCAAAAATTCTTGGCCGAGGAGGCTGAGAACATGAAAAAGCTGGCTGAGGAGGCTGCCAGGCTAAGCATTGAGGCCCAGGAGACTGCTCGAATGAGACACATCGCAGAGACTGACCTTGCTGAGCAAAGAGCTCTTGCTGAAAAGATGCTTAAAGAAAAGATGCAAGCCATTCAGGAGGCGTCTAAGCTTAGAGCAGAGGCAGAAATGTTACAGAGACAGAAGGACCTTGCTCAAGAGCAAGCTCAAAGGCTACTTGAAGACAAACAACTGATGCAACAACGGCTCAAGGAGGAAACTGAAGGCTTCCAAAAATCATTGGAGGCTGAACGCCGAAGACAGTTGGATATAGCAGCTGAGGCAGAGAGACTTAGACTTCAGGTGTCCCAGCTCAGTGATGCACAGTCTAGAGCTGAGGATGAAGCCAAGAGGTTCAAGAAGCAGGCAGATGATATTAGTGCACGGCTGCATGAGACAGAGCTTTCCACCAAAGAGAGAATGACAGTTGTTGAAAAATTGGAAATACAAAGACTGAGCAGTACCAGAGAAGCTGATGACTTACGCAAAGCCATAGCTGATCTTGAAAACGAGAAGGCAAAATTGAAAAAAGATGCCGAAGATTTACAGAAAAAGTCTAAAGAGGTATTGTGTTAAAGATGGCATAAATTGCTGCTTATGTCATTGTTAACCCTCTTTCCAAAAACTAACATTGCTTAATTCAGTTTCTTTTTTATAACCATTTTCCAATATTTGATTATTATAAACCTTATTTCTTTCTCATTAACCATAAAATGAATATTTACATTATTCATAATTGTCTGTCTGAATTTTTTTCAGCATGGTTTTAATTTTGTTCATGATTTCTTCTTTTACAGATGGTGAATGCTCAGCAAGAACAAATTAAACAGGAGAAAACAATCCTCCAGCAGACATTTATGTCGGAAAAAGAGATGCTGTTGAAGAAGGAAAAACAAATAGAAGATGAAAAGAAGAGGTTAGAGAGTCAATTTGAAGAGGAGGTCAGAAAATCAAAAGCCCTAAAAGATGAGCAAGAACGCCAAAGAAAACAAATGGAGGATGAAAAGATAAAACTCAAGGCCTCTATGGATGCTGCTCTGATAAAACAAAAAGAGGCTGAAAAAGAGATGTTCAACAAACAAAAGGAGATGCAGGAGCTTGAAAGGAAAAAGCTTGAACAAGAAAGGATGCTTGCTGAGGAAAACCAACAACTGCGTGAGAAACTTCAGCAGCTTGAGGTTGCTCAAAAAATCACCCAGGAGATTCATATCCAGACTGATTGCAAGAAAGTCCTCAATGGTCAAAGTATTGAGGTTGACGGCACACAGGGTTATCCTGGATTATCTTTTGATGGAATTCGTGAGAAAGTGCCTGCAAGCAGACTGTTTGACATAGGACTTTTAAGCAAAGTGGATTATGATAGACTCCAGAGTGGTGGCACCACTGTCCAAGAACTTAGCAAGACAGACAAACTTAAAACAATTCTTAGGGGCAATAACTGCATCAGTGGCTTGCTTGTTCATCCAAATCAAAAAATGCCTATATATCAAGCCATCAAAGAAAAGAAGATTGCTCCTGGTACTGGGCTAGTGCTGCTAGAAGCACAGGCTGCTTCAGGATATATAATCGACCCAATTAAAAACAAGAAACTCTCTGTCAATGAGGCAGTTAAGGAGGGTCTAATTGGACCTGAACTACACAACAAGATGCTGTCTGCAGAGAAAGCTGTCACTGGTTACAAAGATCCATACACAGAGGCTAAGATCTCCCTCTTTGAAGCTTTGAAGAAAGATCTCATTGGGCAGGATCATGCTATCAGATTGCTGGATGCTCAGATAGCAACAGGTGGTATCATTGATCCCATCAACAGTCATCGTGTGCCAAACGAAATAGCCTATAAGCAGGGTCAGTTTGATGCAGCCACCAATAAAATCCTACAAAATCCAACAGATGACATGAAGGGATTCTACGATCCAAACACAGAAGAGAATCTGACATACAGTCAGCTAATGAAAAGGTGTGTCGCTGATCCAGAAACAGGTCTGCCTCTTTTGCCCATCTCTGAGGAGGCTGCACAAAATGCCAGAATATTCACTGATGAAGAAACAAGAGATGTGTTTGACAAGACAACAGTGTCTGTGCCATTCGGCAGATTTAAAGGAAAGACTGTTACCATCTGGGAGATAATAAACTCTGAGTACTTCACCGAGGACCAGAAAAAAGACCTCATCCGCCAGTACAAAACTGGTAGGATTACAGTTGAAAAGATTATCAGAATTGTCCTAACTGTGGCAGAGGAAAAAGAGAAGAAGAATGAGATTGCCTTTGATGGCCTGAGATCACCAGTGCCTGCTGCAAAGCTTCTTGAATCCAAGGTTATTGACAAAGACCTCTATAACAAGTTACAGAAAGGACAACTGCTGGTCAAAGATGTGTCTGAGATGGAGCATGTGCGAAATGCCTTGAAAGGCACTAACTGCATTGCAGGAGTAATTGTTGACTCAACCAAACAAACAATGTCATTTTATGATGCCATGAAAGGCGACACGATGAGACCTGGCCCTGCTCTTCATCTCTTGGAAGCACAAGCTGCCACAGGATACATCATAGATCCTATTAAAAACCAAAAACTTACAGTAGATGAAGCTGTCAAAGCAGGTGTTGTCGGACCAGAGCTGCATGAAAAACTACTGTCTGCAGAGAGAGCTGTCACAGGTTACAAAGATCCCTTCGCTGGTAAAACAGTGTCCCTATTTGAGGCTATGAAGAAAGATCTGATATTAAAAGACCAGGGAATTAGACTGCTTGATGCACAACTGGCAACTGGAGGCATCATCGATCCTGTCGAAAGTCATCGTGTTCCACATGACGTTGCCTGCATGAGGGGTTGTTTTGATGATGCGACCCAGAAGTTTTTGAGCAGTGCAACTGATGAAGTTAAAGGATACTTTGACCCAAACACTCAGGAATATGTCACTTATCCGCAGCTCTATAAAAGATGTGTCACTGACAAAAAAACTGGCCTTAAGCTTCTGCCTTTGTCCGAGCAAGCCATCAACGCCAGGGAAGAGATGAAATATACTGATGCCCAGACCAAAGACGCAATGACTCAGGCGACTGTTGAGGTTCAGAGTGGACCTTTCAAAGGAAGAAAAGTTACCATATGGGAGCTCATTAACTCGGACTATCTTACAGAGGAGCAAAGACTTGACTTAATAAGACAATACCGATCAGGTAAAATGACTATTGAGAAAATTACAAAGATTTTAATTGTGATTGTCACCGAGAAGGATGCCAAGAAACAAGAAGAGGGCTGCTTTAAGGGACTTAGAGCTCCTGTTCCAGCCAAGTCATTGTTTGACTCCAAAATCATTGACAAGCCAACCTATGATTTGCTAGAACAAGGTAAAAAGACTCCAAAAGAGGTCAGCAAAGACAATTCAGTCAACAAGTATCTCCAAGGCTCAGAGAGCATCGCTGGAGTCTACCTTGAGCCAACAAAGGAGAAAGTTAGCATATACCAAGCAATGAAAAAGAAATTCCTCAGACAGAACACAGGTATTGCGTTACTTGAAGCTCAGGCTGCCACAGGGTTTATCGTGGATCCATCAAGAAATGAATGTCTCTCTGTGGATGATGCAGTTAAAGCAGGCATTGTTGGTCCAGAGCTTCACGAGAAGCTTCTCTCTGCTGAAAAAGCTGTCACTGGATATAAAGACCCATTCACAGGAAATAAGATCTCTCTTTATCAAGCCATGGACAAAGACCTTGTCCTCAAAGAGCATGCAATGCCACTCTTGGAGGCACAGTTGGCAACTGGTGGAATTATTGATCCAGTAAACAGTCATCGACTTCCTGTTGAGACTGCAATCCAGCGTGGATATGTTTCAAAACAGCTAGCCAGCAGCATTGCTGAAAGCAAGTATTTCTCTGACCCTGCATCTGATGAGAACATATCATACAAGCAACTAAAAGACAAGTGTATTACAGAGCCTGATACAGGATTAAATCTACTAAAGCTTTCCAAACCACAGGCCCCAACAGTGGTGGAAAAGACATACCTTTACAGCGAAGAACAAACCCAGAGTGATCTATCAACTACACAAATTGATCTACCAATTGAAGGTCAGGGCTCTATGTCTCTTTGGGATGTGATGAATTCAAATCTACTCCCTGAGGAACAGAGAGCTCAGCTTCTGGAAGAATATCGTTCTGGCAATATAACAAAGGAACGGATGATAATCATTATAATTGAGATTCTGGAGCAGAGAGAAGTAATTAAAGGGGGGAACTTCCAGACTGGTGGCACAAGAAGACGCCAAATCACAATTGAAGATCTCTACAATGCTCGCATCATTGACCTTGAGACCTTCAACATGTTGAAAAAGGAGAAAAAGACTATGCGTGATGTCATGGAGATGCAAAGTGTTAAGCGTTACTTGTACGGAACTGGCAGTGTTGCTGGAGTGGTGACTGATTCAAATTCTAAGATCAGCATTTATCAAGCAATGAAGAGAGAGATTTTGAAGCCAGAGATTGCAATTGGTCTCTTGGAGGCACAGGCAGCCACTGGATTCATTGTTGATCCTGTTAGGAATGAAATGCTTACCGTAGATGAAGCAGTGCGCAAGGGTATAGTGGGCCCAGAATTTCATGATAAACTCCTGTCTGCAGAAAGAGCAGTCACTGGCTACAAGGATCCATATAGTGGAAAGGTTATCTCCCTTTTCCAAGCAATGAAAAAGGGCCTTGTCCCTGAGGATTATGCTCTAAGGTTACTCGAAGCTCAAACAGCAACTGGCGGAATTGTTGATCCAGAGTATAATTTCCATCTGCCAACAGAGATTGCCACACAGCGTGGATACATCAACAAAGAGACCAATGAAAAGCTGTCTGATGAGGTTCAAGGATATGTAGATCCATTAACTGATGAAAAGATGTCATACGCTCAGCTTCTGAAAAGATGCAAAGTTGACAAAGATGGGCTGCATCTGTTGTCACTGGCAGACAGAAGGCTACTCTTCAGAGGTCTCAGAAAAGAAATAACAATAGAAGAGTTGATCCGCTCCAAAATCATTGATGAACAAACAGTCAGTGAGCTGAATGAGGGACGGCTAACAGTGGAGGAAGTGAGCAACAGATTGAGGAAATATCTACAGGGCTCAAGCTGCATTTCTGGTGTGTTTGTAGAGTCTACTAAAGACCGTCTATCTATCTACCAAGCCATGAAAAAGAATATGATCAGGCCAGGTACTGCTTTCGAGTTGCTGGAAGCTCAAGCAGCCACAGGGTATATCATTGACCCGATAAAGAATCTCAAGCTAACGGTAAATGAAGCAGTTAAGATGGGAATTGTTGGCCCGGAGTTCAAAGACAAGCTGCTTTCTGCTGAGAGAGCTGTGACTGGTTATAGAGATCCCTATACAGGCAAAATGATCTCACTCTTCCAGGCTATGAAAAAGGGCCTGATTTTGAGAGATCATGGTATTCGTCTTCTGGAGGCCCAGATTGCCACTGGAGGAATCATAGACCCAGAAGAAAGTCACCGCTTGCCTGTTGAAATGGCCTACAATAGAGGGTTTTTCGATGAGGAGATGAATGAGATCCTCAATGACCCATCGGATGACACCAAGGGCTTCTTTGACCCAAACACAGAGGAGAATCTCACCTACCTGCAGCTGATGGAAAGGTGTATTGTAGACCCAGACACCGGTCTTGTTCTCTTGCTCCTAAAAGAAAAGAAACGTGAGAGAAAGACTTCTTCCAAGTCCTCTGTTCGCAAACGCAGAGTCGTCATTGTAGATCCTGATTCGGGCAAAGAAATGTCTGTTTATGAAGCCTACCGCAAAGGGCTAATTGACCATCAGACCTACCTTGAACTTTCAGAGCAAGAGTGTGAATGGGAAGAGATCACAATGACATCATCCGAAGGGGTCGAAAAGTCTATTCTCATTGACCGAAGATCAGGTCGACAGTATGACATTGATGATGCCATCGCAAAAGGACTAATTGACCAGAGTGCAATTGACCAGTACCGCTCTGGCACCCTTTCCATCACAGAATTTGCCGATATGTTATCTGGAAACATGAGTGGCATCCGATCCCGCTCATCTTCCTTCGGATCCACCTCTTCTTATCCAATGAGCCCCATTCCTAGCATCAAAACTCCAGCATCTATATGGAATGATCCAACTGAGGAGACGGGTCCAGTGGCAGGAATCCTTGACACAGATAGCCTTGAAAAAGTTTCAGTAACTGAAGCCATACGAAGAAATGTAGTGGACTCTATAACTGGCCAAAGACTGTTGGAGGCACAGGCCTGCACTGGTGGCATAATTGACCCGTCTACTGGAGAGAAATTCTCAGTTGCTGAAGCCACAGAGAAGGGCCTTATAGATAAGATAATGGTTGACAGACTCAATCTAGCCCAGAAAGCCTTTCATGGATTTGAGGATCCTCGCACTAAAGTCAAAATGTCTGCAGCTCAGGCTCTCAAGAAAGGCTGGCTTTATTATGAAGCAGGGCAGCGTTTCCTGGAAGTGCAGTACCTCACTGGTGGCCTTATTGAGCCAGAGACTGAGGGAAGAATCTCCCTTGAGGAGGCAATCAGGAAAGGTGCTATTGATGGCCGCACAGCCCAAAAGCTCAGAGATGTAAATGCCTACACTAAATACCTTACATGTCCTAAAACCAAACTGAAGATCTCCTACAAGGATGCCATGGACAGAAGCATGGTTGAAGAAGGATCTGGCATTAGGCTTCTGGAAGCTTCATCAACTTCTAGTAAAGGCCTCTACAGTCCTTACAATGTCAGTGGTGCTGCATCTGCTTCTGGCTCACGGTCTGGGTCCAGGACAGGCTCTCGTTCAGGTTCAAGAAGGGGGAGCTTCGATGCTACTGGCTCTGGATTCAGCATGAACTTCTCATCATCCTCATTTACTTCCTCCAGCTACAGCCGTAGATTTTAAAGCTGGACCTCATAGCTAGCTTACCATGTGGTCCTGCGGCTTTCATATCAATACACTAGAGTTACATAATATACATAAATTAATTAGATTAGAATGACTTTAATCTGTTTTGCATGTGTTTGGTGTAGGAAAATGCATTCCAAAAATTACCAGTATCTTTTTATCTGCCGATGGTCAAGTTCCCATTTTATGTAGTTTGGATGCTTAGGAATTGTTAATTCCCTAGTCAGCTTTAATCATAGTTCAAGTTATCTAGTTTAGGTTTATTTTAGATTAAACTGACTGCATATTTTTGGAAGTGATTTTTTTCTTCTTATTTTGTAAATGTGTCATCTAAATCCCGGAATTGTTAAGCATTTTGAAACTTATTTTTAATCGAGTTCGGTTTAGGCTGTATTTAATATTACATATAGTGAGCCTATATTTCTACATTTTATTTGAGAAAAAAATCTTTTTATACTTTGGTTTATTTCAGGAGAATGTATCAGTAAATATACCAAGTTTTACAAAAAAAGAGAGAAAGAGATTTGATTAATATAGAGTGTGGTTATTTTTACATATTTGTATAGATTTGATAGATGGATATATTAGAGACTTCTAGCCTATTTTGCAAGCAAAAGTTGCAGATAGTTTAACAGAATGTAAAAAAGACACTACATATAAACACTAAAGGAGGAGCAAGCACCTTGTACAACAAACCAAGATCCCTTTAAACTGAAATTATGAAAGTTCATTTACTGGATCCAGTGCCTCTCCAAAGTCCTTTGCAAAACTACTCCAGGCTGCCTTGTAAATGAATCCTCCACTGATGTGTTGTCCAATGAAGATTCCTGATGTCTGATCCATGCCTCTCTCATAACATCATGACAGATGTGGATGAAATGTTAGTACTTGTAAGTTGAACCTAATTTACACGCTCTTGACCACATTGGTTTTACTTTTCACAGTGCTTTATCTATTCTCCCTCTGCATTTATTCCTACTCTGTTCTGTAACTATGCTTTTCAAGATATCAATGCAATCTACAGCTGGGTTTTTCATTAATTAATATTAATCTGTTTTTCCCCAAGGACTTACTTGGTTGCATTAAAGTGTTTATTACAGAAACCCTTGATATTAGCAAAATGTACAAGAGACTGAATTTGATTTAGTGTAATGATACCTGTATAATCAAGATCTTTTTTATTCTATAAGCGTGGTTTATTTAAACTAATTTCAAGAGGATCACATGCTTATGATTGACCACAGCTGGTCCTGCATCTGCTAACACGCAGCACCAATCAGATGAATTTGACTCTAACCCTAACCTCAGTTATCTTCTTCTTGAAGCATCCCCTCTTCCACCCCTGCTGCTCCTCCCTTTTCCTGGGTAGGGCAGAACAGCAGCCCAATGGTTAGCACTGTTGCCTCACAGCAAGAACGTCACTGGAAGTCCTTATCAGGCCAGTCGGCGTTTCTGTGCAGTTTATATACTCTCCCTGTGCTCGTGTGAGTTTCCACCAGGTTCCCCGGTTTCCTCCCACCATCCGAAGACATGCGACATAAGTGAATCGACCAATCCAAATTGGCACCATAGATCAACTCTTAGTCAGCTATATATCTCTCTATAGCAATTCCTAACTCATGAATAGCCATAATAAGCAGGGGAGTTCCCGAGACCTACCTCAAACTTCCTTCTCAACCTTCAAAGAGGAGGGGATCTTCTGAGCACAGGGCTCTTTCCCGGGACAGCATGCCAAACATGCTTTATTACAAACATCAGCTAGGTGTGAACTCTTGAATTAGAAGAAAATTAGAAGCTATAAATATGATACTGATAAAAACAAACATCCAGACTGCTCAAGCGACTGCTATTTAGATGAATGTGTAAATATGTGCCATAGCCTTTCCTCTCAATTATATTAAAGTGCACAAGAAAACAACAGTTCAGAAAGCATCTGATCATAGTTTTGTGGATATGTTTGAACAAGTTCTGCGACCCACCAGCATGTGTTGACAAATGAGCTACTTAAAATTACACTTTCTTGATCCTTATTGGATTAAAAAGTATATTTTAGATACAAATTCTTTTTAGGTATATTTTTAATTTAAGTATACTTTAGATATTTTTATATAAAATGTATAAATCTTTATGTATGAGACTGTAAATCAGTTTTTCTCAACCACGTTCCTTAAGGACCACCAACACTGCATGATTTGGATGTCTCCTTTGTCTGTTACACCCATTACAAGTCTTTCAGTCTCTGCTAATGAGCTGAGGATCTAAATCAGGTTTGTTTGGTTAAGACGACAAGGGCTGCGTTCGAAATCGCCTACTACTTAGTAGGTACTGCATTTTAATTTACTACTCGACCGTTATGAAAGTACACTCTATACAGTTTGAATGTGAGTAGTATGAATGGAACTCGAACGTACTACATCCACCATTTTGTTGTGATCACGTGTCGCGACCTACCTGCGTCAGTTGCGTCGCTTCACTCCCATTCATGAGTTCTCCCATGGTGCATCATGCAATAGTGTGACGCGCATCACGTCAAAATCTCGCCGGAAGTAGTAGGTCAACCTGGTATTTCACTCATACTATTTTTCACATTCTATGAATTCGAACATACTACTCGTCTCGCAAACTGTTTTTAGCATACTAAATAGTATGGAAGTATACATTTTCGGACACAGCCATGGAAATGTGCCAAGCTGGTGGTCCTCCAGGAATGTGGTTGAGAAGCACTTGTTTAAATAAATACATTACATGACACATTGACTTTAAAGTACAGAATGACTCTTTCTACTTGACTCTGAAAATTGTAAAATATTATTGGGTATATTACTGTACAGAATAGACGCTTATAGGTGCGTAAACATCACATTGTTTTGATTTTCCTGGCAAAACTGATTCTTAAAATATTCTAGAGCCTTTGCATAGCACAAATGAGCATACCCCCTTCATATTTTTATACATTTCACAAAATATTTTGGTGCATTTAAACCAAACTCTTTTATTAAACAGTTATATTTAATAAAATAAGGGGAACATTATTAATAATAGAAGGTGTATTTAAATACAAATAAGCTGTTGCAAAAGTAAAATAAAAATTCCAACTAAATGTAATGTTTTTAATAGTTCTCTTGATATTTTTTGTTCCTATAAATAAAATTGTATTCAATATATTTCCCCAACATATTCATTGTAGTATTCTAATTTTTAAATTTAGTTATGTTGTTAGATTGTTTACTGTTTTGGCTTTTGTTCTGACTAATGTAATGCATATACACATTTCTTACTGTAAAGCATCCTATACAACAGAGGTCACCAAACTTGTTCCTGGAGGGCCGGTGTCCTGCAGATTTTAGCTCCAACCCTAATCAAACACAACTGAACAAGCTAATCAAGGTCTTTCTAGGTATACTTGAAACATCCAGGCAGGTGTGTTGAGGCAAGTTGTAGCAAAAAACTGCAGGGACACTGGCCCTCCAGGACCGAGATTGGTAAACCCCTGCTATTGAAAATATTAATTTAAAAGAGAGATCTGGAAGGGATGTACTCATTTATGCTGGGCTCTATAGATGACTTGATCCTTGAGAATTAAGGAAGGTCTAATTTTTAAAATTCCATTACAAGGTATTAATGCTTTGCCAATAAAAACACATTATTACTTTTAAAATGTAAACATTTAAGCCATATGATAGTTTAGCTTGTGGGATTTAAAGTTTGTGTTTTGTCATGTTTTTTTTCTTCAACAGACATCACCTGATACTAGATTTGATGACGCCACACATTTGGTCTTGGATGACGAGATAAATGATGTTTATCAGCAGCCCACATCTTCAGACATTCAGGTAAATGATTAAACATTCACATTTACCACCTTTCTACGATGGTTTGTTTTTGCATTTTATAACCCCTTAAGTTTGATACCTCATTTCTCTTCATTCACTGTTTTGTTGCCTCTTTTTTTTTGTCATTTTGTCGCTTCATATTATATTTTTAATGTTGTTTTAGATCCCCACTGAGGGTTTCCTTCTCCCATTGCATCTGCCATTTGCATGAGGATTTCATATCATATCAGGAACTGCCACTACATCCGCTTGGAGCTGGACTTTGGAGTTTATTATAATTTAACAAAGCACCATTTTGGATCCATTACATGTTCGGTTTAATCAAAAATCTCAGAGATCTACTGCCTGCATATATTCTAGTCCTAAAGTGCAGCTTTATTTTTGTAAGTTACATGTGAATACATTATGCACAGCCTTTCACTGCAATTCTTTAAGATATTAAACTTTTAGATAATACAAATTTAAACAGACTGCATCGTTGATTGAATATATTAAAGCTTATTTAATGTATGGCAGTTACATTTTTCATATTTCCTGTGCCAAAAAAAGACATGTTTGGATCACTTGTTGCCTCCCATGTATTTCTTTGCTTGTTTTATTATTATTATTATTTTTATTATTATTATTATTAATTGTACTGTTGTGTTTTTTTGAAAGTACTTGACTCTTCTTTTCTTCTTTTTTGATGTTGTACATGTAAAATATTTCTGCATGTTTTACTAACTTGCTATAAAGTATTCTAAAACGATGAAGAATAGATTTTTGAATTTATCCCCAATAAATGAAAGATTATATTATGAGTACAAGATGTATGAAATACTAACTGGTGGATGAACTTTTCCTTAAGAGAATCTGGTAATAAAAATTGAGATTTTAAAAGTAACACTATATTCAAGTGTAAATAAATCTATTTTGGAAAAATCAGTTCCAGTCTTTGTATAGTTATTTACATCCCAAGACAAAACTAAAGACAAAATTACAGTAAAACGTGTAATAAATATTTCCCCAGTGCTGTTTAACAGAGAAAGGACATTTTCACTGTATTTCCTATAATTTTTTTTTATGGAGAAGATGTTATTTCATGTAGTTTGGCTGAAAGAAAAGCAGTTTATATTTAAAAAAAATAATAATTTAAAGGTCAATATCATTAGACCATTGACTTGCCTAATCAACCTAACCTGCCCAGTTAACCTAAGTAGCCTAGTTAGGTCTTTCAATTGCACTTAAGCTTAATACTACCAATACCAATACAAACCAGTAAAATATCATTATGGAAAAGTCAAATTAAATATTAGAAAGTAGTTATTATTACAATTATGATGTTTAACCCCGTCTGACTCTGTGTCCGTTACAATGGACGTCACATGTCAGCCCTTTTTCTTTTTTTGTGTGTGGTTCCTGAGTATTTTATCTAATTTAAAGCCTGCATTCCATAAGAGTGGACGATTGTCATCCAATCAAATGGTGGTAAGGCTTGGCATGTTGTAATTTGAAAAAAATCTACTACACTAAAAGGCAGCATGGCATCGCTTCACTCCAGACAGATGTAAGCCACATTTACAATGTTCTTGTTCAGATTTTTTTTATATGTTTGCCAATATTTATATATAAATTATATATCGACATACTAATTCATTCTTGAAACAATTTCATATGTAGAATATACAGATCTTGAAGTTCTTAAATATAGCAGATGTAAATATCTCAGATGTAGACATTATGTGGTGTGATGAGGAAGATGAAGATAAAGTTTGTTACAAACAAGGTGCAATCTATACAACAAAAAACTCTAAATTAAAGTAAAATGTTTATAAAGTAAAGTATAATGTTAATGTTTGTTAATTTCAAGAATATACCAGCAATCATGTATGTTTTATATTATTATTTTTTGTATTTTATCTTGGTATGTTTTGGTAAGTACACGTGTTCTGACCTGATGTCAATAGAAATGGATAATATATACAGTTAAAGTCAGATTATTCGCCCCCCTTTGAATTTTTTTTTTTCTTTTTAAAATTTTTTCCAAATTATGTTTAACAGAGCAAGGACATTTTCACAGTCTGATGTCTGATAATATTTTTTCTTCTGGAGAAAGTCTTATTTGTTTTATTTTGGCTAGATAAATGCAGTTTTTATTTTTTAAATACCATTATAAGTTATATAATTATATAAATTATATAATAACTTGCCTAATTGCCCTAACCTGACTAGTTAACTAATTAAGCCTTTAAATGTCACTTTAAGCTGTATAGAAGTGTCTTGAAAAATTTCTAGTCAAATATTATTTACTGTCATCATGACAAAGATAAAATAAATCAGTTATTAGAAATGAGTTATTAAAACTATTATGTTAAGAAATATGTTTTAAAAAAATCTCTCCGCTAAACAGAAAAATAAACAGGGTGGCTAATATTTCAGGCGGCTAATAATTCTGACTTATATATATACTTAAAGGGTGTTGAGTTTTTATTATTATAATTTGGTCTCACTTACAGAAGCCTCGAGAACTGTGAAAACATTGACTTTTTCCAGAAAGTTGAAACATAATTCGGGTCTGAAGGGGTTCAAATGTGTTGAAAGATATCTCTGTTAAACAGCACTTGAGATATAATTTGTAAAGAATTTCACAGTAGTGCGAATGATTTTGACTTTAACTGAAAATGTTAACAATACCTGATGAGCCATCATCACCAATCCTAAGATCACATACAGGTACTGTAGAGTCAATGATGGGTCTATGGAGTCCTCTGCTGGCAGAGAGTTGAATGACGTTGTGTTGAATCTGTAGGTTGAAAGGCAGAACCCAGATGGAGACACCTTTATGGATAGACTTTTGTTTAGCCAAGACGCCCACGAAAGCCTCTCTGACCTGCCTGCTTTAACTGAGCCCGTGCCGTGTCTTTCTCCACATCATACCAGCTCTACGGTACGAGAGGTCCTGAAGACAACACAATTTATTTCAAAGGCACAATATGTAATATTTTTCCATCAAATGTCCAAAAATCACTTCAACAGTGTTATTTAATTCTCTTACTTGTGTACTTACATGATAAGAAACGTTTGGAGGAATGTTCAAATCAAATAAACCGTTTTACGCGGTGACGTCACACACCCTCGGTTTTATAGAAAACATGGAAACGGCAGTGAGGTAGGCTTTAATATGTTGTGTATTTTATTAGGCTACACCGAGCAGCATTTTAACAAAAGTCTAAAATCTATTTAGATAGAATGTGAAAAAAATACGATTTAGTCTGATAAAACAGTGCTGTCCAGACAAACAATGGGCTATACTAGGCTATAAACAGCTGGTGTTTTTTAGGTAACGTTAACGGTAAACTTCCGGTAAAAGATAATTTGTGACTATTTTCAATTGTATTAAGTTCCTTTTGCTGCATCGACATCATAATGTAATTAAAATACAATTAGTTAAATAAACATAACCATTGATTTAGTTGTTTAAGCATAAAACGATTAACGTTACCAGGCGAGTGAGGTGACGATAAAACCATTTAAATACCAGAGCCATTCAGATATTCAATTCAATTCAATTCAGCTTTATTTGTATAGCGCTTTTACAATGTAGATTGTGTCAAAGCAGCTTCACATAAATGGTCATAGTAACTGGAACAGTGTAGTTCAGTTTTTAGTGTTTAAGTTCAGTTCAGTTCAGTTTAGCTCAGTTCAGTGTGATTTGAAATCATTACTGAGAGTTCAAACACTGAAGAGCAAATTCATCGAGGCGTAGCTCTACCAATCCTGAACCATGCGAGCCAGTGGCGACAGCAGAGAGGAAAAAAAAAACTTCACCTTATAGGAGTGAAGAAAAAAAACCTTGAGAGAACCAGACTCAGTTCGGCACGACCATTTTAATTTCTCCGCTGGCCAAAAGTCTTGCAGAATAGTACACTATGCAGAATAGTACACTGCACTCTTAAAGAATTGGTATGGTTCAAAATCTAATTAATATTTAACCTTATTAGCATTAAGTATGCTGAGTGAGTGATATTTGTTGGTTTGCATTGTCACAGTTTATGTTTAAACTAAGTTTGCAAGTTATTTTTCTTTCAACATCTGAGGTAAACTATCTGCTTCTGCTTTCAGTTTGGCTATAAATATCACATGAAATTATACCCAAACTCACATTAGTAGCATTAAACATGGAATAAAGCACACAATCAGACCCTGAGGTGATCATTGTCATCATATTTTATGCTACTTTCAGCCGCAGAAAAATCCTGTATGCTTGTTGGTCAGCACATCCCTTCAAAAGAAAAATAACACTGCACATTCTACTCCCATAGCATGTTTATTAATAAATAAATTGAATTAGATGGATTAGTTGTGCATTATGATTGTTTGAAAAAAGCAGACATTAACATTTATAGTATTAAATTCAATTCAAGTTGATTTGTGTAGCACTTTTCACAGTAATTATCATTCCAATTCAGTCAAAATCAGAAAGAATTAAGGTGTTATGTATCAAGTGGGCTGTACTGTACTAAAGCCCCTTTCACACATACAGACCTTTCCGGAAAATTGCCGGCAATTTTCCGGAAAGGTTGTATGTGTGAACAGGTCCTTTTTGAAAATACCGGTAAATTTGTTCTGGCTATTTTCCGGAAAGAGAAGTTGTAACATTACCGGCAATTTGCCGGAATGCTGCGCTGTGTGAATGCAGAAGGAAGATTGCCGTAATAAGCGCGTGCACGTCTAGAACGTGCTGACGTGAGACGTCTGCTTTAGCCAATCACAACAGTCAGACGCATTTACGTCTGCGCGGTTTGTGAGAATAAAAACCTTTGAATATTTTTCCAGACACATTTAGCTGCTAGAAGTTAGTCAGATCACGTTTATATGTTCATCTTAATGCCAACTGTGTAAATAATCATCGATGAGATGCTTATGATAAGCCGTTGTTTGTTTACCTTTAAGCTTTGCGTGTGCCTGTGAAACAGCCTGTGAGCGCCTGCACACGCACATATTATGAACATCTCGACATGAGAAAGTGATCCTGCGAAAGTTGTTCACAATATTGATCATCCACAGAGTTTGTAATTTAGTCAAATGTTTACAAAGACAAGCGCAGCCGTTTAAAGCTCATTTGTGGTGAATGATGTCAGAATTTACCGGTATTTTGGAATGGATGTGTGAATGCTCTTTTCCGGAAAATTTCCGTAACGTCCTCGCCTGTGTGAACAGCGCTTTTTTGAATATACCGGTAAAGTCGTTCCGGAAATTTTCCAGAAATTTACCGGTATCACTGTGTGAAAGGGGCTATAGTTAACCTGCTGTTATACAACAATGTTTACTTTTAAAAAGGTTATGAGGTCTATGTATACATTACATTTTAAATTAAGTGTCTGATCAGTGCAATAATTTAAAAAAAATTGTGTGTTGTGTATTGCTTGAGACTTTGTGCTGTCCTTAAAGTCCTAGCGGGGATGGCATCATCTCTTCACAGCCAAGAACAAAAATATTATAGAAGTCAATGGCTGTTTTTTTCCAGCATTCTTCAGTATGTGTTCAACAGAAGAAGGAAACTGGTTTAAAAACTCAAACTCAAAAGGTTTAGAACAAGTGGATGATGAGTCAATGAGGACAGATTTTTTGTTTTGGGTGAACTGACCCTTTAAGTACTGAAGATGTGAATAATTGTGAATGTATGTACATGCCATGTTGGAGTAAGTGTGTGTTTGGTGTCTCGGTTTCAGGATGCAGCTGCACAGAAAGGAAAACAACATGGGTAAACTTTCTCCTTATACTTTTATTCACGCCGGGAAGATAGTAACTCACCCAGTCAAACTAAAATAAATAAGAAAAAGAAAAGAAATGAGAAATGCAAATGACCTTGTTCTGTTAGACTTCACATGGGAAATATTTGAAACAGAATTAACAATTCTGGGTGGGTGAAGACAACTTTTGTC